TTCAATTTTTCAACTTTGCCAATGGCAAGATCTTAGTTATTCTATCTTACAAAAAGGATAAAAGTCTATGAAAAAGAAAAATATATGAAAAATATTTATTTCTAAACAACTACTATTCAAAGGTCCAAAGCTTGTAAGAAAAATAACTCTTCTTCTTAACAGTTAAGAAATCTTATAAATTTTATAGATTTTACACAATCAAAGAAGTAATATAATAATTTAATACTTGCCCCGATCTAGGTTGTATCTGTATCTTCAAAGTGTGGGTTACCCCATGCCACCTTTTTGAAAAGTGAATAAAGGAGTACGATACTGACTAGGGCTCCGGTATACAAAAAGTTATCATCATCCTTCTACTGAACTTCTAAAAAAACAAAAGGCGCCTTAGCTGGTTACAAAAAAAAGTTCCTCAGCTTATATTTTTGTACAAACCATGTCCTTTCCAAACATATTATGTGCTATAAAAAAAGACATTTGCCGTAAAAAATGCCATTTTAAGCTTTAAATAGTCACAAGGAGATCTTGCTTCAAAAAAGGACTGGTGGTTACCCTACCCATGGCAGCCGCTAGGCTCTGTGCATCCTCCTAAGACAATATGTACTTCCTAGCTTGTGAATCAGCCTACAGATGTTGACAACGTCGCCTAAAGGTGCTTCTCTTACATCGGCCGTCGTTAGCCGGTGTTAGCCGAACACAATCGCAGAGGATACGCTCGATGGTCTTATCTGTTCTATAATTAGGTCTGTCAAGCCAATAGAAGTGCCAGGTCCAAAAGGTATTTGGTTATCTGCCTCTTTCACCAGTGAAGTTATATTAACAAAGGTAACCACCTTTCAATGTGGCTCGACCTTTGATACCTACATCTTAAGGTGGCCACATTGTTGATGGATACTTCACCCAAAGCTTCATAACATTGTACTACTAACCTCGAGTAAATTCGTGGTCTGTTCAGATTGAGAAGTGCTTGCCTGCTATCTGTATAGATGAGCATGTTCCTTCCAGTGATATTGTTTCTAGTGATTTCTTTTGCTGCCATGATAATCCCCGTGAACTCTGTTTGAACCATAATGGCACTATTGCTCACAGCCCATTTTATGTTTTGGTTTAAGGGTCTAGAGTATATTCCACATTCTGAGCCTTGTTTTGTATTAGAACCGTCGGTGTAGATAGGAATTGTACCTACCACCTCTGGCTAAGTGCTCTGTTATAACTTTATATGGCTTATGGATGATATATCTCGGTGAGATGGAGTCCATTTTCGCTTGAAGCAGTGGGAGCGTATCAAGTGGCTCCTGCCAAAAGCGACGTCTCGCCTCACCAGATCCTATTCCAACCACCTCGCTGTCTATAGGAAATCTTCGATTTTTCTGTATTCTTTAAGGTGAGATTTGTAAGTATCCCAGGCCTTTTTCAGTTTTGTGGTTCTTGCCTTATTAACAGATTTTCCTAGCCACATTCTTGACACCACCATACGGCAGTCATCTGATCAAGTTGAATCCGCCTCAGGGGTCAGGATTTCTTAAAGGCATTATTTATTGTGCTTTGGATAGTGTTCGAGTAGGCCTCCACCTCTCTCAGAGCCTTTTGGAGAAGGATGCCTTGTCCGTCTTCCTGAACTAGGTTGTAACCAACAATATTTCAGAAACGGTGCTAAGCATGGAACAATCTTTTGAGCGACTATATAGTGTGATCCTTATTGCAAGCTGCCCTATTATTAAGGATCATTTTAGCATCTGTCAGAACAAAATTGTAACATCAAGAACAGTGTTGCCAGTCTAGTACAATTTTACTAGATCTAGTACATAATTTAATAATCTGGTACTCTAGCACACTCTAAGCAAAATCTAGTACTTTTTTTTTTATTTAGCCATTTGACGGGTGTGTTCGTTCTCGATAAAAACTTTTTTTTTGCTCTTTTGAACCAAACCATCACAATTCGAAAAATATGGTACAATTTATAGAATCTGGTACATTTTTATGGAATCTGGTGCATTTTTCAGAAAAATTTGGTATATAACAAAAATTTATTCTGGCAACACTGATCAAGAGTGTTGTTCTAAAATTTTTTTGGTAAAATTTGTTTTTTAATGGTTACAACCTTGTTCGGAGCAGGTACCTATTCAATTTTTTAATTTATCAGTAAAATGTTAATTGCCTCTTTAAAAACTAGAGCAAAAGTTATAGTTTACCTAATTAACATTAGATATTTCTCTATGACAAAACGTTAACAAAATTACAGGAGATCCCTAATTATTGTTTGTTTCACTAATAGGCTTATTGTTTCCTTTCCAACTTCTTATAATATAAATAATACAATTTAAACGGACTATATGATTACAATTAATAATATACGAGAGTATATTAATATTGTGAGCTCTTGCGTGTTTAAATTACATTAACAATAATTAAAACGATATTTAAATAATTACAGTGAAAGCAAAAGTTAATAAGTTAATTAGTTCAAACATGTAACGAAACAGATCATTTTACAAATAATGAAAATGCAGTTATTGATCAATTAATTCCAGGATTGTATTAGAGTGACTGTTTTAAAACATCAATTAAAATCCAGCTAAGATGGTAATCTGGAATTTATTTTAATAATAATATGTTTCTGCCTGTGGATCCAAGGGTCCCAGGTTCGAATCCCACCGTTGGCCGGAATTTTTTCATTTAATTTAATTATTTAAAATTAATTCTGATGCCTTGTTAGGATTCCCCACTCGACCATTCACTGTTGGGTTCTAATTAACAGTGCTGTTCCTAAAGTGGCGCTGGGAAACAGTAAAAATCCTACACGGAACACGAGGCGAAATAACCTTAGCAGTTGAAGCCGATGACACAAAAAAAAAATAATATGTTATCGAAATCTTTAAAATATAGTGAATTAAACTATAACTATTTCTCCTGCTTAGATTTTCTGTACATGTATTTTAGTTATTATTAATACATTGCTACGAAATAAAAGTTGCTATATCACAGAATATGTCTACCTCAACAGCAAATAATACTACAAATGTAGAAAAGCTCAAAAAATAACAAGTTCCTCTACTATTAATCGTAGATGATATTAAAAACTTTACAATATGGTGAAGCAAGACCCTAATGACTAAACAAAAGTTATTAATGATAAAAATAAAAATGTAATTGTTTCTAATACTCCTACGAGAACAAGCAGGTTATGCAAAGAGTATATTTAATCTCAATAACTAAAGAATAAACTGACAATAATACAAATTGTCACCCTATTAAAATTTAAAAAATAATAGTAGTAACCAAAATATGAACTGTGATTGGTGGATTTCATATTTTTGCATTGTTTTTACTAGGTAGAAAGGATATACCGTAAAATGTGTAAAAAAAATAACGAATTCAGTATAAACTCAAAGATTGGTTAAAAACACGAGTTCTTATTGTCCGATATTCCACATTTTGACTAATTTGACAGATGAAAAAATTAATCCAACATACCTACCTAAACAAATTTTTATTGAAAGGGAATCGTTGCTGTCTGTCGTGTATTCATTACATTATTAATTGCGTTTGTTATACAAAGTAATTCATTCTGTCTGTCTGTACATTGAATAAGTGGTTTTACCTACTTAATAAAAATCTTAAAAGTCGTGAGGAGAATACATCAAATAAGTAGAGTGAACTAAGCCCATGAGGCTCACTGCAGAAAAAGTAGGCTTTTACGTTTTTATAAGGTGCCTTATGGTTTCTAAGAAATCAGGTGTGTTCTATAATTCCGAACCAAAACATTCTACGTAGTTTAGAATATGCGATAATTAGTTTTTTATAGTTACTGATATCACTGGTTTCTAAAAACTAGACAGTTGGACAAGTATTTTCGAATTGTTTAATAAGAATAAGAAAATCGGAAGAAAAATTTATACAGGGTGATAAATAGAAAGTGAAGAATAATAGAAGATACTCGAAAAAAAAAATCCAACACATGACATTCCAGTAAAGTTGCGGTCCATTCAGTGGCGGCTCGTGGGCACTAGCGGCAGTGGGGCACACACTGGAACGGCATCCCGGGATTCGTTTTTCCCTTAGGAAAACAAGTTCTCCGCTTAATGAAAATTAAATATATGTCAAAATAAATAAAATATTACAAAATTGAAGACTAATTGCTAGGTACCGCTGCAGTTGTATACTATTTCTTATAGTTAAAGTCCATTCGTCTGGATGTTTGGCTAGCGAAGTGATCGATGACCAGATTATTAAAATGGAATGGACCGAATAAGTATAAACGACATGTTACTGAAAAGTAAAAAATATAAAAAAAAATATACAATTCCTCTTCGTCTACTTTTCTTAAATGATAATTTAAATTTAAATCAGATGTTTGCGTAGTTATCAGAGCTGGACAAGCCCAGTCCTTATTTATAAAAATAATGCAATTGAGCTTGAAATAATAAGTTACCTGAAAGACCCAAGAGTTGACCTAGACTGTTTAAAAAATTACGCTTTAGTTAATTCTATATTTTTAAAATATAACACAGTTTCCCCTTAAGTGCACCAGTTAAAAGACTATTTTCATTTGCATCTATAATCAATTCATTAAGAAGACATGCTTTATCAGATGAACAGTACGCGTAGTAGAATCTGACACGTTGAGAATTTCATTACACATTCAAAGGGCTTTAGGCACATTTAAAGAGCTTCAAGCACTTCTGATGGCACACCAAGCACTTTTGATGTGCTTTAAGCACTATTCAAATCACTTTGAGGGCTTTGTGCTTGCCGAGCACAAAGCACTTTCGAAAATAAAAAGGAATTTATGCTCGAAAATGAAAGAACTTTGAAAAGGAGCTTAGGGCTTAGTGATTCAAGCCCTTTCATTGAGGGCTTTTACCAGCTCTGGTAGTTATCACATACATGTCGGTCATGGCCTATTTTAGAAATATTTTTTGTGGAGTATTCGCTATTTACATATTGAAAAATGAAGTTAATAAAACAAAATATAATTTATTTTATTTTGTTTCAGAATTACGATGACTGGAAGAAATAAATCGCACTTCAGAAACAGCTGGGGTCCCACATCGATATCGTCCCTAAGATTTTCTAGATCTGTAGACGAGGAAGACGAGGATGATGACGAGTTAAAACAGATCCAGGCCAGGCAACTAGATCCTCTTAAAGAGGACGTAGCTGATTGGCTAAATTCAACTTTAGGTAAGTTCACTACTTTTTTGGTTTCATTTAAACATTAAATAGTACAATAATCCTCAGAAATTGTTTCAAATAGAAACCCTCGTTTATTTACAAATAAATCACTAAACGAAAATTGTAAGTGATTGTGGTCAAAAAAAATTCATATTGATGGTTTCTAAAGTAGCCTTGACCGACAAAAATAGAGATACGAGTCATGTCTGTGATAACTACGCACGGCTCTGAATTAAATCCTGATATATAAACAGAAGAAGCAACAACAAAAACGAAATGCATGAATTGTAATATAAAATAGTGGAGAAAAATATCGATCTCGTCTCGGCCTCGCCTCGAGATCGAGACGAGATCCGCGATCAAGATCTGCATAACAAGTCGAGATCGAGATCTGATCCTCGAGATCTCGACAAGAACGGGAACTCAAAAAAATCTCGCCGAAATCACGAAAAAATATCGTCGAGATCTAGCCGACAAGGATGCGGAAATTTAAATATGGTGGATTCACAATCAAAATGATTACTCCTCGCTATCAAAAATAACTCGCGATTTTTTGGGTATTCCGGCCACATCAGTCCCTGTCGAGCTTGCTCAGAAGTCAGTTAACAGCTGATTCGGCTAGACCTCTTATACGCCTTAATTCTTGGTTTACCTCAACATTTATGAATATTTATTTTTATAATGTTAATGTATCTATTTGAAAGGATAGTCTTTTATTTTCCAAGAATAATATTATCTTTATTATTATCTAAAAGTCGAGATCGAGATTTGCAAAATCTCGTCTTTTAAAACTTTAAAAACATTTTTTGTGGATAATAAAAGAAGAAAGTTTGCAACATGTGAATATTGTCTCATCAGGATTATGTTTTCCTGACAAAATCGTATCTATTCTATCTATGTCTTTGTCGATTAATTATTTTTTATCGATATTCAAAACTGGTTAGGTACAATGAAGCGTTCTCTTCCCAAAAAATTATACTTATTTAATGCAAATAACCTCTTCATCAAATTTTCATATCAATCATGTGAAATTATGTACGAAGGCACGAAATGAAGTTGGTTACAAAACGGAAAATATCAATGTACCTGGTACTGTGTCCCATTTCATAAATAGATATGAAAGTTTCGTGATTGAAGGTCCATAAATTTCTGTAGAGATTACGCCGTTATTGATAGTTTCGGGCATGATGTCGTGCAAATTCTTTTAGAAAATCGAATTACTTCCTCCCCTCGAATTTGTTGAAATCATATTATTCTACATTCCGGTGACCTGTGCCGGTTCTAACTGAGACAGCAGTTAAGATCCTCGATATTATTTTAGATTTTGTGAATTTGCTGGTCAAATAGCTGTAAAAATATATTATTTTTCCATTCTTTGAATAGAAAGTACATCATTACGACCTTACTTTGAGGAACTTAAGTAGATATATCTTTTTTACTGGCATAACAGTTAACTTTTTGTGTAAAAGATATAAAATATAAACAAGTACTTACACAATAAATATTCTATATACTTTTCTCCATTATTTTTCCTATATACGTTCCACAATCTTCTAGAATTTAAGCCTACTGCATTAATGTAGGTATTTTATACAAATTACTTTTCTATAAATATAAGGTTATTGAAACATATTCAAATTAATTTCCCGTCATTTATCATGTAGGATATTTGTTTATTTATATTTGGGCGAGATTTTGTATTTGTGATTTTTTAGTTGTTTTTAGATAATATACTTTTGAGTTTTCGTGCTTTCGTCATAAATATAATACTTATCATATATATGTTTTATGACTAATGTTGGAATTCTTCACCTATCTGGATGCTACACAAATTTCTAGGTAGATATATTTATTAACTAAACGCAGGACATGGTTTATTATGTGGTATAAAGGACATTTCAGGTACCTAACGTTTATTATTAATAAACTTAAATAAAAATCTTACTATCCTTATATTTCGAAGTGAACGGTGTATCTCAATAATGTGAATTTGTAGATACCCATTTATCGCAAGGAATAACATTTTACTAACTTACGCTTGGAAAATAATGAACTCTTCAGTTTTGATTTTGACATTAACATCATATAGATTGCAATTTTCGTAAATTTTATTTTTAATATAAACACTATCACACACTATAAGAAATAAGCAAATTTAAATCTCACAAATAAGAAAAAATTCGAATTATAATTGATACAAATTAAAATATAAATGTTGCCAAATAATGAGTTGTTTTTAAAACAAAATTGATAAATGAACTGAAATTTAAAAAAAAAATCTATATAATAAATCGGTTCTATAAAAAATCCTTAAATAAATATAGAGTATGATTACATATTGCTAGACACAAATTTTGTTACTTGAAAAAAGGTATTTCCACTTCTTCAAGAGCCAAAAATCCGACGAAGTAGCGAAATTTCGCTACTCCTGGTAACGCTGAACAAAGTCCACCTTATACCCAGACAACACACCAAATCCCAGAGATATCCACAGAATATCTTTTGTGGATATCCAATATATCCACAGGATATCAGAAATATTCCGTGGATCTAATATGGATATCCAAATGTCCGTCTATATCCAGAATATAGAAGATATCCTATGGATATTCAGCAAAATATCAAATGAGTATCTTCCAGACAATACAAGAAATCCCAGAGATATCCACAGAATATATTTTGTGGATATCCAATATGGATATAGAATTCAGATATTCAGCAAAATATTTTATAGGTATCTTTAGTAGAGGTTCATAAGTAACCAATGATTATTGAATAACGTCGAAAGAAAATACGAGATAAAAAAATATTTCCAACAATCTGCCTTTGATTTTGCCCACTAAAAGGGCCCTAAAAGGGCACTCTACCTATAATATATCTGTTAGTAGTGAAAGTGATGAGATTATGAGCACTCCACCAGAGATTTTAGAAATAGCTCAAGCTGCCACACATAATTTGCTACCGCTAAAATCCAAAAAAAAGGTACGAAATTACCCATCGAAAATTTATGGATTAGCGACACAAGCATATGTCCTTTATTTAATAGAAGAAAATAAGTGGGCGTAGAAAAAGTATAGTACGTTACACGAGTTGTAAGCCCATTACGCACTTGTAAAATTTACGCACTTCGTGCATAATGGGTTACTTACAACTCTTGTTACGTAATATACTATTATATTTTATTGTTTGTGTCTTTATGTATTCCAAATATTTGTATACTTACATGGACAGCTTAGTATATAAAAATATCATTTATTAAAAATCTACACCAGAATATATTTATGACCGATGTAAATCCAAGTTCAGGTCCTTTTTGTCCTGAATAACTGGATCTAGACAAAATATTTTTATGCTACTCAAAGTTCTATAAATTTGTTTATACAATTTTAAACTATCACAAGAATGGATTTTACTATACACGTGACTTTATTTCCAGGTGTCTTTTTTGGTATTTCTTTGTTATTATTATGGTTTTAAGGTAGTTCACTCGCGACAGTCGTACATAAAAATATCGCTTGATGGTGAATACCAAAACTTCAAGATTCGCAATGCTAAAAAGTGTTATTGTTGCAAGAAACTGTACACAACACATGTAACCTTATATAATTATACGGATACGTTATCATTTCAAGTAAAATCCATCCGGCAACGTCGCAAATATATGAATGGTGGGCTATAGAAATTTGTGTCTTCCTCGTTATAATTTTAAGGGTTTGTTTTGGTTCAAACAGAACCGCTGATTCTAGTTCTCAAATACAGCGGACGAATTAATAATTTTTTAAGAACAAGTCACGAAGTCATAACAACTTGTGAATCTAATTGAACAACAATGATTCTCATTTCTAATGTTTTTTTATGCCCTTTCCAGTAGAACTTAAAAATCATGAACTTCATAGCTACCATGGGCGTAACTAGATAAGTTTTCTGGGGGTTAGTAGGCCCTTTATGTTCGAAATGCAAATTAGAATTAAAATCACTTATACGTTTTGAAATATTCGAGTAACAAAAACTTTTGGGACAGGTAAAGTGCTATAGGTACTTTCGAAATAAAAAATGTTACATTACATACATATTTTCGAGGCGGTTGCAATGCATGAAATTTTCACGAATTTGTATGAATGCCACGAAAGTTATACTCATTTAAAATAAAATTTTCTATTAATTCATGATGAATCTCATTTATTTTGTATTGGTTCATTATTAATTATTCATTTATTAATCTAATCGAATTTTTATTTTAATTTGTTTACCGTTTACCTAACCCGAACAGGAAAATATAGATTAAAAAAAATAAGTAGAGCAATTAAATAATAATTAGGTATTTAGGTACCCAAAGTTGTTGAGTCACAACTAAAACTTAACAACGATGGGTACCTTTTTAACGCATTTCCTTTATACAGATTAGTCGCGATAATGACTGCTTTCTATTGCTTTAAATAACCATTAACTAGACGTTTTATTTACTTAAAAGCCAAACAGGTATTTGGGACAATCAGGAACTGTATCTGCGAGTTTTCTCTTTGGAAAACAATAACCTCTCTCAAAATAGACGTAATGAACAAAATTTTACTACTTACCTTATAATATTTCATGTTACATGATTTGCATACGTAAGTATGTTTGTATACGTGAGTTTCTTATATAGTAATAGATATTTTTGAATTAATGTCTGAGGGTTGAACCTAGTACGATTTTCATATAAAATTGGTTTAAACTTCCAAAATACCCAGTATAACCTCATACATGGAAAAGGAAAAAATAAGTAATTTATAATTGAAACGAATGTACCTATATATTTATTATAGGTACCTAAAGTTCTATATTTAGCTGTACTTTTCTCTAATGGAATATTGTCTACATTTTATTTTTTGTATAAAAGTTAGGAGTAGAAGTACTCTTTCTCTTTACTGACATCTCAATGCTACTTTAAGTCTTTACGACATGTCATAACCGTATTGTTTACTTTATTAATAGCCTCTAAAAACACAGCTTTATATTTTTTCGGAGTGATATAGAGGTTATTCCAGAATTGGCGGGAAATATGTACAAGACATTTGCTAACAAAAAGTATTTCTCATAAAGTGTTCTTTTAAATTACTTGGACAGAGCAAAACTAAAAATTGGAATTCGAAAATCATTGGTAAATTAATATATTATTTAATGTTTTTAATCACATTTTTTGATAACTGATTCATAGGTATTTTTCTCAAATAACGTATGGTTCATAAGTTTTGCGAAAAATTCCTAAATCAAATATTTTCAACGTGAAATAACTTTATTCAAAAATTATTTTTGTTAAAACTACGAAACTATGTAAAAATATAATTAAATATTTAATATTATAGTGGTCCATACTATTCCATAAGAGTTAGGGCGTCTTCAAAGTCAAATTCTAGAATTTTAGATATAATTCTAAGTCGTAGTTGGTCCCTATTTTTGGACAGACCATCGATTTTATACACTTGTGATAAAAGTGCCCAAAAATCGGTTATCGGTTTTCTGCACGTATGAAATATTTTATTTGAATCAGTTTTGCGTCTGCCAAGTCGAGCCAGAACATTATTTCACATGATTATCTTCAATATAAAGTCAATGAGTTTATTTGCAAAATGTATACGTCTAAGATTTCGGAAACAAGGTGCCTTTTTATGATATATTCGGACTTTTTTTTTAAATTCTGAAAACACCTACCGTGACAAATGGCATGGTGGTACGGGCTATACGGTTTTCGTTAAAGAAGAAACTCTGACATTTCATTAAGGCAGCCAGACCCTACTTCTTTGGTCAGAGCTAGGGTCTTCAACAAACTAGAAGCAATTTTTTTTTTAATTCTAGAGGATACTATTCACAAATATAATATTCCACCTGAGATAATTTTCAACATGAGTAAGGCCGCACTATTCACTGTTCAAAGATCACCGTATATTTTTGATACAATCCCAGGCAGCACACATTAGTATAACTTACGTATTTTATACGTAATACTCGTTTAATTTTGGTATTGGTTGATTCTGTATACGTTTACAGTTTACTATTATTATACATACCGTCTTTTAAACGATATATTATACGTTTTTTATATACAGCCTATGGTATATAAGTGTAAATTTTTCTACGTTTAAATATAGTTAACAATATACGACTAATTTTAGTTTGCGATAAACTACTTATATACAGTGGGCCTAAATATACGTTTATTTAAATTAAATTCGTATAAATTTACATAATATAACAAATATGTGTTCTTCGTTTATAATTCCCGTTTAAATTTCGTCTTGGTTGACTTTTTAAACGTTTACCATCTACCATTTTTATACTTAATGTTTTTTAACAGATAAATTAAACGCTTTTGTTTGTCGATACTAGTTAATATACCTATATTATTCTACGTTTAAATGTAAGTCACCTTAAACGAATATTACCAGTTTACGATGAACTAGCAGACATAAGAAAATAATATGTATATATTTAGTTTTTTTTTTAAATTAAAAGCTTATAGATATATTTATTTACATTATATTCATATTTTTTTAATTATATTACCTGTAATATTTATAACAAATTCCCTATCCACACGGAACTATTTTTAGATGGCGGATGGAGAATGACGTTCTAGTGGTACGGTCTTTTCTCATTTCTAGATACTCATGCGTATGTGTAGTATTATTGTTCAGTGTTGTGTAGGGAATGGTTTGTGGCAGCACCAGACTCGTCCATTTTCATTTGTGTACACGTTTTGTTGCATTTCATGCTGCTTTGGCGTCGTGGCTTTTACGATATTGATTAAAAGCATAGGTAAGTTTCTATTAATGTTTTAATTTAGCTACTCCTTTAATAATTATTGCATTTTACAACAACTACTGTTTTATAGCTAGGTACAATGTGTAAATGATTATAGAAACTCCAAAACATAACCTTACTTTTGTTTCTTTTATTTTGATACGTATTTTCAGGCTACTTATTTTCCTTTTTTTTGGTCAGTTGTTTTTTATTTAATAAAATATCTAAAATAACCCTGTCTCGGCGTCATCTACGTAGAAAAATAGCACAAAATGTTTAAGATGCTTTAAAATCAAATCAATTTTTTTTTATTCCCAATGAAGATAATATTAATAAAGCTTCGGACATTAATATATCATCTGATTCTATTATTTATAATAATTTCCAAGAAAATAATACAAATTTAACTTCGGAGCTTTTAGAAAATATTTCACCTGAAATTGAAATACATTTTGGTTACAGGAATGGGGATGAACCAAGCGACTTAACCGACCGAACGATTAGGTGTGCCATGCAAGATTGGCTTAAGTTAACTAAGGCCCGTCTAGGACACAACACATCCAAAGTGTTAAACTAATATTTTAATTTTCATATATATTTTTTGTTATTTAAAGAAAAGTTCCGTTTAGTTTGTTATTCAGTATTTTAGTGTTTATTTTTTTAGTACTTATTTATTTTTTAGTATTTTATTGTTTTTTTTTTTAATAAAATATTGTTCTGTACATATAAGTGATTCCTAAATATCTAGGCCAATTACAACTAAAATAGAAACACGAGCAATGCCTATTTCTGGTATACACCTTTGCTATGGAAGAAATCCAAACTGTCATTTAAGAAATATTAACATTTTTCCATGGCCTCTTTTAGAAATTTTGTTTTGATCACTTTATTTAATTTGTGTTTGAAAAACATTTAAAACTAAATCAGGTAACGCATTTTACATATTAATAAAAATCATACAAATATATATAAGATAAATCTAATATAGACGTTTAGTAAAACAGGATAACTAAAGGTTGATAAAGTAGTAATGTTAGACGTATAAAAAATAAAAAAAATATACGTTTATAGGGCGGACATTTTCACGTATATATTGGGTAGCATATCAACGGTATCCATACGTATATTGTAGCACATAAAAAACGTCTTTTATACGAAAGTGTATTCGTATAAATATACTACAACTATAAATCTAATATAGACTTATAGTAAAAACGTTTAATTATAGGTGGATAAATTCTTAGTAATCGACGTTTATATATGACAAATAATATATGTTTATAAGGCGGACATTTTCACGGATATATTTGGTAGTACATCAACCGTATTCATACGTATGGTAATAGGTAAAAAAATACGTAATTTATACCAAAGTTTGCTGCCTGGGATGGGATGAAAAGAAGTAGAAGCAATAACAAGTGCCTAACAAAAGGTATACACAACAGTGTTTTGCAGCATGAATTCGATAGGGCATTTTATTCCATAAGTCCTCATCTTTGCACGAAAAATTGGAAAGTCCAAACTACGGATGACGATCCAACTTGTACACTATATCTATATCAAGATTCTGATTGGATGTCTTAACTTAACCACTATTCGAGAATTGGTTAGCACACTTAATAAATTATACGGATTCATCCACGGTGAATAAAAGTTTTACTCATACTTGATGGCCACATAAGTCACAAATATCTAAATGCTTGGAGTCTACTAAGGTAATTTTTCTTTGTACCACAACACATTGCATCCACCGAATTCAGCCACTCATTGTGGCCTTTTTTGGATCTTTATCAACATATTATACTTAGGCAGTCTCTAATTGGTTGAAAAGTATTAGTATAATGAGTTGTATAGTTATTTGCAGAAGCCTACGAAAAAGCGGTGGTAATGAGTAACGCAGTTAGTGGTCTAAAATTAGAGGTATACAATGTATGCATCCTTTAAAACTCAATATATTCTTTTAGTGTTTTGTACTTTTATTTTTGCTGTTTTTATAGACTTTAACCACAGGGTAATATTCAAAGAATATTTTTTATACTATTGTACCTGCTTATTTGAAAAATACATTTTCTTTTTTAATGAAAGTGTACCATTATATACCTATTTCCCCTGCAAACTTTCAAACAATTAGCTAAAATATTGTTTATGCACAACATGAACGGTTGTATAGCAAAAAGTAAATGCAGCAACTTGAAATATTTTAACATCCTGTAGCTCGAAGACGTCATTTTCGGCCTTAATTAATCGTCCTATATATAAACGATTTTATTGTTTCAGGTATCGACTACATTAATAAGGATAACTTCCTGGATGAACTGGATAATGGCGTAGTCCTGTGTCACTTGGCGCAAGTTATTAGAAAAAGTGTTAAAAACGCAATTGATAAGGGCATTGCAAAAGGGGTAAGAATCAATGATATTATTATTTTTTGAATTGATAATTTAGAGTTAATTTTACTTTATATTATTCATTCCCTTTTGATCTAACACCCAGTTGATCATGGCAATTTCAATCTGTATAATGAACTGGGCGGTTAAATAAAAAGTTAATGGATAAAAGGTTAATTGTTGCAATAATTTTAGCCTGTGCCTATCGTACGAGGAAAATGCTTTGAAAAAGCCGCTAGAGGAAGTTTTTTTTCTAGAGACAATATGGATAATTTCATCAGATTCTGCAGATCGCTCGGTGTTCACGAAAATCTGCTTTTCGAAAGTGATGATTTAGGTAGAAATAAATACTTTTATAAATAGTGAAAAGACAAAATAATTGCTTCCTTTTTTCATACATGCTTTTGCAAACATTTATTTAAAACTTTACAAATAAGTATTTGCGATTAATATAACATGTACTATTTTTTAATTTATTTATTTTTAGTACTGCACAACCAACCACGAAATGTGATACTGTGTTTACTAGAATTAGCTCGGATAGCTAACAAATTTGGTATAGAACCTCCTGGATTGGTGCAACTAGAAAAACAGATCGCTGAAGAGGAGAGAGATTCTATTGATTCCAGATATGGTTCACTATTAACCTGGCAATTCCCAGGTTTAACGGTTAGTAGAATATCATTGTTAAACATTTCCTTTTAGAGCGAACCCGAATATAGAAGAAACCAGTGTGCATCGTGACGTAATCGTATCTTCTCTATCTAACAAAGCATTTTTAGTATAAATAAATCATAAATTATATATCTTTTAAACAGGAACCAACATCAAACTATTCTAAACTAAAACAGAGTGCTTCAACGTCCGCTATATCTTCAATATTAACATGGAGTCCGCATAGTGTAATATTAGTAGAACAGCCAAACGGATTATCATCCTTAGTTCCAGTAAACAATACTAGCGGTGCTAGCGATGGAGTGCCTAGCGATAATACTGAGGATGAAGATTGGTCGAGAGGTAAATTATTTGAAACTTTTAGAAAGGGCAAAAAACACATAGACATAATAACAATTTTCAACAATTAAGTCAAATTGAACAATGCGTGAGCATCAACTAACAGCTTGACCTCCCTATAGCACTCAAGGCGACCCATCATCTCGTTCTGCCCGGGAGAGTACAGTCGACGGTTCGTTACTACCGCCATCACTTCCCGCACCCCCCACTCTTGACTGCCAATGTTCTTTGCATTATATTACAATGAGTAATCACACAAAATTTGTTTACCTGTTAACATTAGTATGAATTCCTATTTCTGAATGAAACATGAGCTGTTTTACTATGTACATGTTGCTATAACTATAAATTTTTAAAAACGCACCATGTTCCATTTCGTTTGCTACCAAACTTTCCTTTTATGAAAGTAAACTTGACCCTCAAGGCGTCCTTAGTAGCAAAATGTATTTATATAGTTTTCGAACGAACCTTTAAAGACCTCTTAAGATCAAGTTAGGCTGGAGTTATCTTGGGCCGATTTTAGGGTTAAACTATAGAATTTCTGACAGTTGTGAGATTGGTTTGATATGATTTGTTCGAAGTAAAAGGTTTTGAAGAGTTCATGAAAGATTGGCATTTGAAAGACATTTAAAACGAGGATTGAAATCTTGCCATAGATTTTATAAAATATTATATTTACAGAATGATTTGATGCGGAATTAAATTGAAAGGTTCATTAAATCCCCACCCCATACTTGAACAACATTTACGCTTATTTTTCTTTCCAACCTACCTATAAAATACAATTTTACGTGTAAAATGCTTAACATCTTCAGTTCTTTCTTTGGATTTGGTTCCATTCCATATGATCATAGCTAGAACGCATTCGGCCATTTCGGTGTCGGATAAATAAATCCTGACGGTTGGTTCATCTAAATGCACATAGTTTATTGTGTTCCACTGTCGGTGATGACTTCCTTTGGGCATCCAAAGGTAGTGAGGACATCATCAAAAAAGGCGGTACTCACTCTCTTTGCGGTAGCGAATCAGATCATCTTTCATTGTAGCTATTTTGTGAATCAATTCATAAACATTACAAGGTAAGCATTACCTCTCTTTCTTCGGATCAAAGGTCCTACCAGATCGGTGCTAACAATCTCCCACGGTTGATGATTCTGCGATGATTGCATTTTCTCCGGTATCTGTTGCTGAGATGGTTTATATCGTTGACAGGTAAGGCAACTACGGACATAATAATATCTCGGACTATTCCTGGCCAATGGTATTGTCGGGCTACTCAGGTTATCGTTTTTGCAATCCTAGTGTGACCTGAATTCGGTGCGGTTTTCCTTCATTACTTGGTCTCTCTGGGGTTTAGGTACACGTAAAGTTTCATAGATCGGACAATTCAGGTTCTTTATAATCATATTTTCCAAAAGTGAGATGGTAGAAACCGTTTTCTTTGATAGAAAAGTCGGAATATTCCAACGGGTTTCTTTTAACCTTGTTATTATCTTCAGGTGTGCTTGAATTACTTTTGAAATTGGTATCAGATTTCGGTACAAAGCATCGGCGATACGGTTTAGAGTTCCTCTACGGTATTTAATTAGATTATGCTCGTACAGACGGACTCACGATGGACCTAAGAGACTGATGGTCAGTGAGTACGGTAAAGTGGTAGGCAGACTTCTAGGTATGCTCTCATCTTTTCCATTCCTCATAATATAGCGAGACATTTCTTCCCGGTTGCGAAATGGTTCTTTTCCGTTGGATTCAGAATCCTACTAGCATATGAGATGACATAGTTAGTCTATGCCATCTTTCTTCTGCTCGTAGACCATGATATGAAGATCGGAGCCTCAGTTAAAATGGTCTTGAATTTCAGTAAAGCGCTTCTTTGTTCTTCCAGCCATCTCCAATGGTGCGCTGTTCACGGTAGTTTAGTAAGCGCATAAGCTGCTTAGGAGAATGACGGCACACATCTGCGGTACCACGATGCTGCGTACCAAATATTATTTTTCCTCTTATTGAAGAGGAACTGCAAACTATATATAATAGAGGCCTGCCTGTAACATTAATAATACAGCTGCTGATGAATGTCACGGATACTATGCAACTGGAAACTGTATAATCTAACTTTTGGGTTCACATCTCGATGAATGACAATCATTCGTGGTTTACAAATAAAATCCAGAACGTAAAGTCGAAGACTTTAGTAACAGTATAGCTATTTTCTTATTAATTTTTAAACATCTTTATTGCCTTTTCTTCATTTTGTAGCTCTTAATTACATTTTTTTATGTACAAATTGAACCCACCTTCGTCTTAAGTAGGATCGTACTAATTTGAAAAAACTATTGGTTTTGGAGTATTTTTTTTTTGTCCTTCATACCAATTATGGAACATGAGGTTTCACTGAAGAATATTCTAGGAAAACTTTTTCAGTATTAGTTTTTGAAATATAAAAATAATTTTATTGACAAAAGTTAATAAGAAAGTCATTGTTGGAAATTAATAATTATACCTAATTAAACTTTGCCAATATTTGTAGACTGTAGCTGGAGACTTGAGGGGGATAGTATGCCAGTGTGTCAAAAAGGACTCCAGAGCCATTGTATGTTATATACAAACTTCTTGTATATTTCCCCAAACCTTGAGCATATAACGAAGTTTTTTAACGATATTTTGCGCTATCGACGGTGCCCATTTAATAATATATAAATATTCTCCCTAATTCACCCCTTTACGAGTGAATTTCAACTTCTGAAGCCGACTGATCGACTTGTTTGGGCACTCCGGGGCTACTTAAAGATGATTGATGGCTGCATGTGACTTACAGGTGAGGAAAACCTGGAAACCCCCACTCATCATCATCATCATCGAAACGGTAACGCATAGCGATTTTTATAATCTGAACGTCATAACAGAAATTAAATTTCTGCTAATACGGCATCCATCAAATCCTATAGAGAAGCATGCAAATAAATTCACATGGTCTTCTGTAGGTTTCAAAGCCCACAAAATTGGCTCGCAAATGAATGTGAATATGTGCCGAAAAGTGGTTAGAGCAAGGATCCCGATTTTCTTTTTCTGATATCAAAAAACCTTTAAAATACAATGAACATTTATCATCAACACACAACCTAATTCTTCTGTGCTTTTTATGTAAAGCGAAATAAAATGTGATGTCAGATGTACTTCTTCCTCAAGTATACCTTTCTAGTCCTTCCATGAGGAAGGGTTTATAAAACAGAAAAGTTGACGACGCCTCAGGATACTTCTCATAAGGATACCCCTCAAGGTTCGACTACGTATTATTCCATCACCAGTTAACCTGTAAAGCATTATTTTTACTCTTAGTTTATAAATAAAAATTAACTGTTTTCGTGTTTTAGGTAGCGGTGAAGATCCAGATTTCGATGTAACTCCACCAAACAGGCTGTCATCTGGTGATAGCGATACACCTAGTCCCACTGCTACTACGCCTACGAACGAATTAGATAGGAAAGTACAGCTGGCTGCTCGTCTTATGCAGAAGAACTGCAACTGTTCCAGCGGACGTTGTGAGAAATTAAATATTAGGAAAGTTGGAGAAGGAAAATACAATATAGCTGGGAAAAATGTATTTGTAAGGGTGAGTAATGGAAAACACGTAATTTTTTTCTGAGAGTTGTGCAATACAGTTCTTATATTTACACACTTACTAACCAAAAATATGTTTCACAGGCAACGGATAATTCAACAAAGGTACTTACATAGAATATTAATGATTTACAATTAAATTTGTACACACATTATGTTATCTTAAAATTTAGAGTATTGTGCGAACACACTTTTGGCGCTTTTCATTTAGGTATAATTAATAGATGAAAGCACAATTTGTAGGTTCTTTTACACTCATAAACAAATTAGTTGAATTCACAAACCACCTTAATTAAAAATACACCCAAAATTCACTCAATTAATATAGAGGAAAGGGTATAATTATGGGCTAGGCTTTGATTATGGGCTGCGGTAATATTTCCAGTACAACGATAGCCATCTATTGGTTGACATCACAATTATATGCGCGTTAGCATTTGTAACCGCTTAGTGATTACTGGTTTCTTCTTTTCGCAGAGGTGGTTTTGTTTAGTGTGAATTGTTATTTTACAGTGTTTATCAATGAAGTGGAGAGGGGTAGAATGATAACTGTCAATGAAAAAGTCTGGACACTATGCACAATTTCGTTTTGCACATTTTGTACACAAAATTCAGGGACGGTTTAACGACATTTTGTGCAACAATTATAAAATAGTGCATCGAAAAATAATTAACAAGTATAATTTAATACTAAATCGGAATAAAAGCATAAAAAATCATAAATATAAGCAAGATAACAAAGAATTGACGCCAAAAAAGCTTACAACAGCCAAAACACAAACAAAAAACAGAGCTGAACATGAACATAATCGCTGAATAAAGTCGATCCTGGAATTTGTTTACAGTGCTTTAGGGCAACCTCTCTTTGTCATTTACGTGTGTAAGAGTGGAAGGCTGAATCACGCATAATTTCTACACTCGTGATGGATGCGCAGACGGTACCTTATCGTTCTACCCTCTCTACTTCTTTGGTGTTTATAAATTTTGTTGTGGTGCTTATTTGTGGCTGTCATTCAATTGTTTTTGATGTCAAAGTCGATTTTTAACGATCAGACTTGAGCACAAGGTTTGTATTTTTAGTTTTTGTTTTTCAATTTACATAGATGAAATATATAAAATATTTGTAAAATTATCAATTTAATTGCGCTTATTTGTAATATGGGCTGGTCTTGCGTTAGCAATATGGGCTAGCCCATATTTGTATCAATCTCTATATCATTGTGTGTTTTGTTTTAGAATGCCACGCAAGAAACTTATGGTAACTTCCGATTTAAGCGCAAAGAAAAGACGTGGGATACAGAGGATATGAAAAGGGCTGTTCAAGCAGTAAGAGAAAAAAAAATGGGTACTCTAAAAGCAGCAAAAACTTTTGGCGTTACAAGGACTACAGTGTATCGATTAGCCAAAATGGACCATCTTAGCGTAGAACAAATTGTTCAAATTAAACTTGGTCGAGGTACAGTTTTAAATCCAGAATTGAAAGAAACATTAGTTCGCTACATCCTTGAAATGGAAGTCAAGTTTTATGGCTTAACCCGCAAAGATATTAAACGTCTGGTATTTTGCTTGGCAGAAAGAAACGGAATAAAGCATTCTTTTGGAAACACACAAGCAGCAGGAAGGCGGCTGGTTAGATCTATTTTTGCAAATGCATAAAAATACCTTGTTAGTTAGAAAACCCACTGGGACATCTTTCGCTCGCGCCAAAGGGTTTAACAAAGAAAGTGTTGACAACTTTTTTACGCTTTTGCAGGAAGCGTATGAAAAATACAAATTCACAGCTAATCACGTGTATAATGTGGATGAGACCCGTTTGACTGTTATGCAAAATAAGGTCGCTGAAGTAGTCGGTCGTAAGGGAAAAAGACAAATTGCCTCTTTAACTTCATGGGAGCGGGGTCCTTTAATCACTTTGATAGCCTGCATGAGTGCCGGGGGAGACTTTATACCACTGATGCTCATAATTCCCAGAAAATATATGAATATTCAACTAATGAAAGGCACCCCTCCAGGATCAATATTAGCAGTTCATCTTAGTGGATGGGTTCAGGCTACGTCATTCGCCCAGTGGTTTAGACATTTCACTGACACTGTAAAACCGTCTGCAGCTTCGTCTGTTCTTCTAATTTTAGATGGGTATTATAGTCATACGCGTAACCTTAGAAGTTGTCAATATGGCTACGAAAATCACGTGGGAATAATCTCATTGTCCCATCATTCCATCCATAAATTACAGCCTCTTGACAAAACTTTCATGGGTGCGTTAAAGGCTTACTACAGTGAGGAGTTTACACAATGGATTCGCCACAATCATCGTCCCTTATCTCAATATGACATTGGCAAACTTTTTGGAAAGGCCTATCTCAAAACTCAGACTGGAGAAATTGCAGTAAATGAATTCCGCGCTACTGGAATTTTTCCGTTAAATAAAAATATTTTTTCAAAAGCGGACTTTCTTGCTGCGGAAATAGAAGCAGAAGAAGAACACTGCAACGCAAAAAGTGAATTGAGTGTCACCACAAATGTTTTGTCCGATTCGGCTTCTGAAAGAATGACTACATCAAGCACATCTCAATCGAATATAGAGACACCGTTCAACGTGGACCATCTGAAATGCTAAGAAAAATCTTGTCTCCCTTTGATATTTCGCCAGTTCCGATATCTAAAAAGAAAACAACTAATAGGGGTAGGAAAGCATCGCAAGCAGCGGTAATTACTTCCTCCCCTTATAAAGATGAATTATTGTTGAGCACTACCAATAAAAATAAGCAAAATGTTAAACAGGTTAAAAAAATGTATTTTCTCAATCAGCCGAAAAGATCTCGATGTCCAAAGCATCAAAGAAGAATAAAAAGCAGCAGTCGATAGAAGAGTCTGAAGGTGAAGACGACAAAACACGGTTTACGCTAGCGGATAACGATTTAGATATAGATGATATGCCTGGATAAACGAAACCAGATAATTTAGATGCGGAATGCATATTCTGCGAAAGTAGATTTTCTAAAGACCGCAAAGGTGAACTCTGGGTTTAGTGTTTAATGTGCAGTTTATGATGCCATGTGGACTGCACCGGCGCTGACAGAGATGACTATGTTTGTGACTTTTGTCGCACTGATTAGTAGTGTGTTACTTTTTTAATTGCTCCTGTTTTTTTTCCTTTGAATAAAACGTTTAAGTTGTTAATATTTGTAGGTATTTTCTGTAGTAGCCAATATTTGTGTCACTTTAAAAATTACTGCTATTATGTCACTCTTATTTTAACAAAATAAAATTTTAGAAAAGCTTCCGCAAAAAGAACGAAAACGGACCGCATAATGTTAATAAAAAGTTCTAGTTCACTTGTAAAAAGAAAAAACGTAAATTACACTAAAAATGTATCAGATATGTCAATTAAACCAAATGGTAGCCAATATTTGTACCTTCTCCTCTATTAATTACGGTTTCCAAACTTCTATGTTTTTAAAAATGTAATAACTGTATTAATTTATGACATTTTTCAGTTACTAAAAGGTCGTCACATGATGGTCCGAGTTGGAGGTGGCTGGGATACCTTAGACCATTTCTTGCTACGTCACGACCCCTGCAAAGTAAAAGTAATGTCCAGGCAGACTCCCAGCAGACCCAATAATCCTTCAAAGTTCTTGCACATTCGTGCAAAATATAGGAGTCCTCCATCGAGAGAATCCGTTACCCGTTAAGAATTAGAAACGTTTTTTTATTTTTATTATTATTAAGATGTACATTTTTTTGTTGGGTTAGTATTAATTTGTAAATATTTTTTCCTTGTATAGAGCATTTATCAAAGTAATAAATCGGAATGGTACTTGCAGTAAAATATGTACAGTGATTTTGCCATATCAAACCTTAGCTTGTATTGGAGTGAATAGTAAAATGGCGCATGCACATGCAAGAAAAGAAACGACACACGTTGGCTACGTTCAGTAGAAAAAAATCTGATCGGAACAGTTTTATAGTTTGCTGAACAGTATTTTTTTGCGTTTTGAACAAGAAACTGTAGTGACACTTATTACTAACCTCCAAACTCCAAATTTATGATTTTATATTTTATCTATGGATCGTGTGTAAATTAAAAAGTAAAATATGAAAGGGCATTGTGTATAATAGCAAAAGCAACTATTGTAAAGAAAGCTTAAGTGATTCAACGGATGGTAATATTTTAATGGTAGCACTTGGCGATGATATTGACTTAAATATTATTGTAAAATTGACATAGGACCTCCATTCACTACTAGATGCTTTTCTTTATCAGTCACCCGAACTTTGAAAGTTTGATCGAGATCTGGATCAAATAACTCTAGAATTTCCATGTTTTAAATCGACACCCTCGTCTTTAATCTATTTGTAAGTTGATCATAACCTCAAAAACAGAATGTGCAACATGTTTACTAGAAAGGTAGCATAAATTAAATATGGCGACTGATCCGACAACTGTTTCGCGCAACGTTGAGAAAAGTTGTCAGCAGAAAATAAGTAAACTGTTGCGTCTGCTGAACGCAGCCGTTGTCACTCAGAGTTCGAGTCACGGTATCGTTTCTTTTCCTGCGTTTAAGACCGCCTTTTACTATTCACTGCAACACAAGTAAAGCGAAATCGAAGGTTTGATATTGCTAGCACTTGTACATTTTTATTCTCATAAAGATCTATTAAATTTATCAGACCACTAAAGTAAGAATTTTGAAATTTCACAAGTGTGTTGATTGTCCTAGGGCTGCTGCTAACGTAATTATTTTTTGTCAATAAAAATCTCAAGTTTGGAATTATTTCCATCCATTATACCATCAAAGCTGTTTGGTTTATGATGTATGTCAAATAATTTGATTAGAAGTTAATTGTTCAATGACAGAAGACGTTAATAAAACGTCAGGTCTCAAAACGTTAAGAAAGCCTGATCAGACCAATGAACTGGAGTGGGGTAGAATGCTTGTCAATAGACTTGATGTGCGACTCTATGGGCGAAGATAGGTTATTTTTTATCTCACTCGGGAGCATTTAAAATAGCCAGTTTCTATTTCACATTGTTATTGTCTGATCCACCAGCTTGTGGATTGAACAATAACAATGTGAAACAGAAAATGGTTATTATAAATAGTCCCGAGTGAGATGAACAATAAAAATGGCTGCGCCCATCGAGTCGCACCTTGTTCTAATAGTACAACATGTACATTGGCATTCTACCCCCCTCCAGTTCATTGGATCAGACGCAATAGGCTGCATTAGTATAACGTCAGTGATCCAAACAAAATGAATGAATCATTTGGTCATTGATGTTGACAAACATTTTTTGAGGTTTTTTTTTTAATATTGTTTGCAGGTCTTAAAAAAGTAGTGCGCTTTTAGATGAATACAATCTTATAAATAATAGAAATAAAATGTAAGTAAACAACTAACCTTTATTTTTATTTATTTATTTATTTGCAGAATTGATTATTTATTTAATGTTATCTACTTTAAGAATATATTATTTTAAGACTTAAAATTACTTAAATTAAATAATAAAAGTTCAAAAATTAAGTATCCTGTAAATAATTTTGTTTGGCTCACTTTATACGTCATCACTAATGCGCCATATCAATACTTATATTGTTTTGTCATTCTTATAACAATTCGAATACTTGAAACCAGAATGTTTATCAGGAGTTCTCGCAGTTCTGAAATGTGAAAGAGAAACGGAAAATTCCAGTTTCCTAAATCGAATAAATTGATTTATTAATTTTTTTTCTGATACACCAATTCTTTAAAAATTATTTTATTCCGATTTATAACATTGATTGAGATAGTTCGTAAAAACGGGAAGACTTGCCATTTAAGAGTTTAGTTTAATTTAATATGAAATATATTTTTAATTTATTTATTACTTATAATTATTATTAAATTAAGTAAATATCGCAATATTTTATACTGTATACTCTTATTATAATACATTAATAGTAAGTGAAGAACAGTCGCTAAGAAAAATTATTCCAGTTAAAGTTTAGCAAGCAATAAAAAAAATATAATCATTTAGTGCCCTTTCGAAGCTATTTGAAATCACATACCAAGCATGTTGCGTTTGTGATCCTCTAGATAATAATGATTAATTAAATTTATTGTTTGGTAGACTTTAGGTACTTAACCAATATCCGATATTTATCAGCACATAACCTATGTTAATTCAAAAACTGTCTATTAGTTCTTGAAATAAAACAACCTAATAGACAAGTTTACAAAAACACATTTGGAATCGTTACGTTTTATATTATTTTTTTAGAATAAAATGGGTTGGCCCTGTACCAACTTTCATTATTATTCCAAAATTATTATTAATTTAATGTTATTTGTGTTTTTTTGTCATCCTATTTGTTATTCAGAAACAAAATTAGAAAAAACTAATTATAAGTTGTAATTTTTTTGAAAAAGCTTACTTGTAAACTTAGAAAACATTATTTTGATTAAAACTGCTGGGTATACGAAGAAGAAAAGACACCGTTTATTTGACAAGCTATATAAAAAAAATAAATTGACAACTTCAATATTCTAGTAGACTAGTAAATGCATAAACAAAAACAGTAGGTTTACTCCGTTCACTCATTTTAAATCGGACTAGGCCATTAAAATCAAATATCGTCTACACTGTATAGAATAACTAACAATACCAAAATTTTCATCTTCGTCACAAGCTCACGAAAAAATGTAATGTTACCACATAATCGTCATTTTCTATTTACCTATGTGACAACGTTACATTTTCTGGCCTATTAGCAAAAAACTCTGACACTGTCATTCTTACTATACAATGTAGAAAATATTTGACTCAACCAGTAACTTGGAAATTAATTTTTCTTAGTTTTATTACATCAATTAAAATCTATATCCTAGTAATACACTTTAAATATTTATAGCTCACCTGTGATTAACTCACTACAATGTTATTGACAATTATTAACGTTTAGAAAATGTTATTTTGTCTACTGCTACAACAGTTTTCCTCAAATATTTTGCAATAAGCATCCAAATTCTTGTTGAAAGAAAACGGGTATCTTTCAGCAAAATATTTTGGAGGAAATCTCCCATTATTGCATAGATAATCCTTAGATATAGTAATTTTTATACCAATTGCAATTGCAAGTTCAAATTAGATTTTAAGAATTACAGTAATCTGAAATATATATTGTTAATATTTTAATTGCATTTAGAATTTGTACCTACTTACTATATTTATACGAATAAACTATCACTGTCTATTGCTACGTTTGAAAAGTACCACACGGAACTAGAGCTAGATTTTTTAGTCACGTGATCATCGAGCAAATCGAGCTTATGTGGAATAAAAGAACGGTTATGGATTTGTTTGTGTTTCCCGTATCCGGTTTTCATTAAAATAACAAACGTAAACCTTTCTTTTAAATCAAATTTGATCTCTCGTCTCGTGGTTTTTGTTGCAAGTTGCAAAGTAAAGTTAACTTTTAGCTGTGGTAGTTTTCGCTTTTTGTTGTCACTAGAAAAAAAACCATGTTCTCATTTCTGTCCGACATTTTTTATAATAACCAAACACTTGAAAAAGAATAAACTGCAACACAAGAGACGACGGACGATGCCTGTACATCTCAGAAAAGTACATCTACTTTGTCAATTGTCACAGAAATTACATTTACTCTGAAAGCTCTTAAATTTAATTCGGAGTAAATAGATCTTACTCGATTTACCAGCTCTGCATTAAAAGACCACGGAGCAGATCCCATCGAGAAGCCGCAGATATATTAAAAGAATAGCTTCGAGTAAAAAGAGCAAAACGAGGTAGTTTTCAAACGCAGCACCTATAAGTTGTTTTTTTTGTGATTATAAAATAACAAACAGATAACTACAACTAACAATTAGGGGACGTCCGCCAAACAGTGCAGGGCCGCCGAGAGCCAGGTCGGGCCCCGGGACAATTCTCTACATCGGGAAAAAAAAAAGAGTCCTCATCTCTACAAAAATATTTGATCCCTAACTTCAATTATTCTTCTTCTAACAATCACATCACCATGCAGCAACAGAAAACCCTATTGTCGGGCCCCCCTTACAGCGCTGCCGGGCCCCCATTTGGGCCCGGGCCCCGGGAATTAGTCCCGGCTACCCTCCCCCCCCCTCTAGTCGGGCCTGGCAATGTGATGTCTAGTAGTAGTGCCCCCTCGTATGCGGGATTAAAATCATGACTTATTTTGAATATTTCAACCGGATTTTCAGTATATCGCCATTCGCGACAGCGCTTAGCTTATGCGTATTTCTAACATAAAAAGTTACATATTTCAGTAAGTACACTACTGTTATTTGTATTCCCTATATTTATCTTGACTTAGATAAAGCGTATGATGACGCTAAAGTGCAAAAATTCCTATCAATTTTTTTGTGGTTAGGTAAAGTGTATTTTCTTCTCTCTCTGCTACAGTGGCCACAAACTGATTCGCAACAGTGGCCACTGCTTTTAAAGAATAGAAGTAGTGGCCACCGTTTCCGATGTTTTTTTTTTTATTTCAGAAAGAATAAATACCACGGCCGAAGACGAAAAGACCTGGTTTAATTAGAAAAATTCCTCCAGAGACCATGATAAATGCTCTTTGTAGTATGAAGGAACATGGTCTTTCTGTAAAAGCAGCCGCAATTCGTCACGATATTCCAAGAAGTACCCTTAGGAGATATAAAAAAAAATTGAAAATGTTGAAGAGATAGCAAATGTTACTACTGGATTGTCATTCAATTATATTGTAAACCGAATATTTTCTATTGCGGAAGAAACAGAGCTTTGTCAATACCTCTAAATGTGTGCCAAATTGAATCATGGACTCACTCCAAAAGATGTCAGAAAGTTTGCATTTTCATTGGCAGCAGAATATGGCAAGCGAATTCCCCCCTCTTGGTTCAAAAATGAAATCGCAGGGAAATATTGGATGACCAATTATCTCGAAAGATATCCTCTCTCTATTCGAACAGCTGAAGCTACATCCTTGGGTCGTGCTATGGGTTTTTAATAAAATTGTCGTTTAGAAGTTTTTTGATAACTTGCAAAAAGTCATTGAAAAGCATCACTTCAGGTCTGATAAAGTATATAATAGGCGAGTTCGGTCAGTCAGGGGCTGGAGCGGGACAAATTTTAAATGACATTTAAGCGTGTTAAACTGTCACTAATCGGACTAAACCTAACGCTAAAAGGGTCGTTTGGAGTTAAAAGTGTTAAAGGAACTTGGCAGACCGAACGCAATGTGTGTCGACTAAACGGCTCTGACCACAGTACAAGAGACAGGAAAAGTGGTTGCTATGAAAGGCCAACGACAAGTTGGTCAAATAACGTCCAGTGAAAGAGGGACCTTGGTGACAATGTGTGGTGCAATAAATGCAGATGGCGATAATATACCGCCACTTTTAATATTTCCGAGAAAATTCTTTAAGAATCACATGATTAAAGGTGCACCAAATGGAACCATAGGAGTAGCATCAACCTCGGGTTGGATGACGTCGCTAATATTTGTTCAGTGGCTGCAGCAGTAGTATTGTGTATGTACTTTATATGGGGTTATATTTAAATTTTATGAAATAGAACTGTTAATTACGTTTGGAGAAGAAAATTCTTCAAATAAAAGATACTTTTATTATTCTTCATAATTTTTGTTTTATACATGATTTCTCTAAAATGGACCGTAATAGAAAAATTTGAGGAAAAGTGTAAAATTTAAATTTTTCAGCATTTTCGAGTTAATGTATGTGGAAAATGTATATATTAAGTTAGGTAGCTGATGAAATGTTGGAATTAGTATTTCATCTGAGTGCCGGATAGGGCGTATTGCCGAGTCTACATTGGGATAAGTCCACTTACTGCGGTTATTTCGAAAGATTTCTTTAGTATTTACTAAACAAAAATAACAATCATTGAAGTGCTTTTTTGGTTCTCTTCAAACCATAGGTACGCCGAATTTTAGATATTTTCTTTTCCCGATAGTTCACTGCCGTAAATGCTCTGTACAAGTTTTACTTACATACGAGATTCGGGGCCCACTTTTTGTCCTGATCACCAAGGTTAACTCCAAAATGACCAAGATACGCTCGCTTTACAAAGTCAGTAATAGTTTGTCTGTTTTGTTGAAACATGTATTCTCCGCATATATAGCAAAACACATCAGGTTGATTTACACAACTTCTTCTTGAACTGGAACCTGAACTTATTTTAATTCTGTTCAATAACACAAAAACACTCTTTTCTTAACATAAAATAACACGCCGAATTCGATCTGCTCTCATTAGTAAGAAAACACAAACTGACGAGACTTACCCGAGTTAGATGATTAAAAGGATCAGTTCAGGTACCTGATAGATATAGATTTACCTGGAATTTACTCAATTACAAACTGACAATAAAAGCATTGTACCTACATTAATGAATATATAATAATTTTAAAACTCTCATAAATGAATATAGTGAATAAAAGCAACATTGGTAGATACGTTTTTGTATCTAAAAAATCTGATGTGTCCAACACATGACTTTCCTATCTAGTTATTATAGGCTTTTTCCGGTTATTTTGTACAACCTATTGCAGCATCTCTATAAATATTTAGAGGATAAACTAAATATATACATTGTCCACATACATCTATCTCGAAACATTTTGCTATAGATATTCATTGAAAACGAAAATACTGAAAAATTTAAATTTAGCACTTTTCCATTACAGTTGATTTTAGAAAAATCATGTATAAACAAAAATTATAGAGATCGATATCGCAAACAACTTTTATTTCAACAATTTTCATAAAAATCGGAATTTTGCACATTTTGTCAAATTTCTCGAATACGGACCATTTCAGGAAATTTTGACATAAACCATAAATTATAGATAATAATATTAGAAATAACTTTTATTTGAACAATTTTTTTCTCCAAACATAAATAACAGATATATTCTATAAAATATAAAAACGGCCCCCCATAAAGTACCCCCCCAGATGTTCCGACTTTGTCCAAAATCTAATCAGTTCACGTCAGGCCGAAATAAAAATTAAGTTTAAAATTTAATGTTTTTTCTTTATTCGTTTTTGAGTTTTCTTCAAATTTCGAAATTTACACATTTTCTCAAATATCTCGAATACGGTCCATTTTAGAGAAATTATGTATAGGATAAAAATTATAGAGAATTATATTACAAACAACTTTTGTTTGAACAATTTTTATAAAAAAATATTTTTTTACATTTTGTCAAATTTCTCGAATACGGACCATTTTAGGAAAATTTTGTATAGAACAAAAATTTTAGATAATATAAAAAGTAACTTTTATTTGAAGAATTTTCTTCCCCAAACCTAAATAACAGATATATTCCATAAAATATAAAAATGACCACCTATAAAGTACCCCCCCCGATGGTCCGACACTGACCAAAATCTAATCAGCACATTGGACGCTGGAACAAAGCTTATGTTTAAAATTTGGTGTTTTTCTGTGTATCGGTTCATGAGTTATGCGACATACAGACACACACACACACACGCACACACACACGCACACACACACACACACACACACACACACACACACACACACACACACACATCATCGCGAAAATAGTCAAAACGGATTCAGGGGACCTCAAAACGTAAAAATCCGTCGAAAACTCGAGGTCGAAAAAAATCATGATTCCTATACTTTTCTTATATCTGTGTACAGATAGGAAAGTAAAAAAGTAGAGCTAATTGAAAAAAACAGATTGCATGTACAGATTTAGCGTCCCTAAATCAGCTCTAAAATCCCAGGCACCAAAAAAAAATATTTTTTTGTTGCCCTGTGTTATCCTTTGGAATTCATATCGAAAACACGATAACATCTGCAAATCGGGCTCTTGGCTTTTTAATAAGACAAACTACACTTTTTACGGACATAAATACCATAAAAATACAGAATACATTTTTAAGGTATTATAAAAAGTATCATATTCGGCCTGATTTCAAAACCGTAAGATCAAGTCATTTAAGAACTGAATTCAAAATAATATCTTTAGAAAGTAGACGAAAATTACTATCAATGCTATTTTTATATAAAATTATTAATAATCGAATAAATGCACCTAATTTATTATCATTTTTACCATTCACGAACTACTCAAAACATAATGGCTGCGTTCATCCGCGCCATTTCAAGGAGCGCTACAAAAGTAGCGATCACTTACGCTACCTGATCGATCTTTATGCAGGGATGAACCATGTTTAAAAGTGACATTTGATTTTGGTTTATTCATTTTACTTTTGAGTTGAATGTCTCTGGTTGAAGATTTGTTTGTTTATTTTTCAATTGCTAATATAACCCTACTAGTCACCAAGCAAACCGTGGACGTAAGTGCGTAAGACAGATCAGTGATCACCGATCAGACGTAAATAAAATGCGCTACTTTTAATGGCGGCTGCTCCTTGAGCGAAATGTCAAAATACACCGTTCATACGTGCCACTCGAGAGCGCTACCAGATCGATCAGATAGCATGTGGCGCGGATGAACGCAGCCATTCTATATACCCTTCTTACCTACTATTCGATCTCCTATTGTGGACATACTTCGGATGGCGAACAATTTAAATTATCTTCATGATCTTGACTGGAATATATCTTTAAATAAATTTCGCATTTTAATGTTTCAATGTCTTATAAATATTTTTAGCTAAATTATGTTTTGAATTTGATCCCCTGCAATTCTGAAACTCGCTCACTCTGATATTTTCTTTTGATTATATACAATTAGTAAACTTTAACTGTATAAACTTATCCATGTAATTAGGCCTATAGGTCTGTTTGGGTAAATAAATAAATAAAGTGAAAACAAAAATTGAAAAAGCTAAGAACCAAAGAAAAATGAATGCATCGACCAGGGACCGAACCTGGAATATTCAGATTATACGTGTCCGCGTAGATTGTAGATTTTAAGTCAAGACAAAAGTTTCGTATTCGTAAACTAAGAATTATTTATTTTCATATTCCCAAAATTGTATTTTTGTAAAGTTTGTATTATTTTTTAGGGATAGTTTGGCTTTCATATAAGGTGTTATCAGTATAAACACGTTTTTGTTTCTAGTTATGTTACAAAATTTAAATTCTAAATAAAACATACAATATTTTATTTAGTAATACGGGTTTAGATCAACAAGCTAATAATTAAGACACACAAACCACATTTGAATACACGTTTAATACTTAATATTATTCACAATAAATATTGATTTTTAATAAAATTTTATTATATCATTAAATGCGTAGCTTTGGTAGTACTTATACTCTAAATAAAATAGACATTCAACAAAAATATTTAAATCTATTTAAAATCTATAATTTAAACTTAATCGTAATGGACGTACATGGCACTACGACCTTAAAGGTTCTATTTATTCCATATAAATGGCATGTTCTTCATAAAAATTTATTATGCAGCCCTAGAAAATAAAGAAAAGTGCGTAATGTAATTTGCTTATAGATATTATGAATAAAAGAAACTAGACATTTATATGCAATAAATGATCAAAATAAAAAAAATATATATTTTTTAATTTTGTGTTAATCATTTTTTAAAAATTATATGAATGGATGCTGTACTTATTACTAAAATTAAAAATTAAAATTATACAAAAAATGCCAGCGCATTTATAGGTTATAAACTATTATTGTATTTAACACTTTAAATAGTATTAAAATAAAGAAAATTCACGTAAAAATATAAATACTGTCTGTTCAATATGAATCTTATTTTCTAAAACCAATGACATTTGTCAATATGAGCAAAAATATTTAAAATTACTTATTTTATATAAACTGCATAAAATATGGCAGCGTTACGAATATATAAAAATAGAAAAGTACAAAAACATACTCGGGCATTCTACTTTTTCTTACTTTTGCCAAGGGTGAGGGTGTGATGGCTTTGACTCATTTGTTGGTATTGCGACTTTCTTCTGTTGAATTCCACAACTTCGTCCTCGAGCTTTTTACGCGAATCCTCGATTTTTTTCTTTTCTTCCGTGTGGTCTTTTTTGAGCTTGTCAAATTTGGCGTGTAACTGTAATAATTTCAATAATTTTATATACATGACTATATATTCTAAATGTTATTATTACCTCCTTTTCTGCTTCCTTTAGTTCAGATTCCTTTTCCTTCACCCTAACAACGAACATCTGTCTCATCTCGTCCTCCTTGTGCTGCAACTCTAACAGATGTGTAGACCTTTTCGTTTCGAAGGTTTTTTGAAAACTCACTGGTTTGTTGTCCTCGTCCACGTCGCTAAGACCCATTTCTTCGAGACGCTTTTTTCTGTACAATTCGTAATGTCTGCAATGGGTTTTTTCTCGCATATCTTCCATGTTTGTGCGAATCAACATTTCTCTGAGCTTCACGAAATCGCAATGAGATTCGTTCTGAAAATAAACGACTTTTAAAATACTTTACGTCTGAAAACGGTAAAGCGTTACATATTGGCGCCCAACGTGGGGTCAAAATTTCTAAACGACACCTACATACCTCAACTTGAACGGTACCCCAAGGATATTGTCTGGCTCTAACCATTTTATTTCCTACTCGTATAAAATCGGTGCTGCCGATTACGGCGAACGGTACATGAGAGTTCATCGATGTATTAATATCGGATACCGATTCATCATCGACGGGAAATTCGTAGATAGATACGCCATTATTTTGAAGTTCGGCAATAATTTTAGACTTAAATTTTTGCAGTTCCGTTTTGGATATCGTATCGGCTTTTGCGATTATGGGAATGACGTTTACCTAAAAAAAGCAAAAGACATGGAGTGGCGGAGATACTATTTATAATGTACGGGTAAATATTATCACCAATTTAAATATTTAACAATGGACATTAGATGACATCTTACCTTTTGATCGAGCTGTTTCATGCAAACCAAATCGATTGATTTCAGACCGTGTCCTGTCGGACATACGAAATAGAGACAAGCGTGGATGCGTGTATCGTGGAAAGTCGATAAGGACCTTTTAATTTTCAATTCCTCCTGAAGATAATTTTCGAACTGGGCATCTATGTAGTCCACAATAGCCTTGAAACTATTTTCTTTGTTAATTTGGTCCCCATAACCGACAGTATCAACGATTGTAAGCTACAGAGTGTATACATTTTTTATTAGAAAAAGTTATTTATTCTTCAGATGTAATAATTTTATGTGAGGATGTTTATTATATAGAGAAGTTAATAAAAGACTGAAACCTGGCTGTATAAAATCGAAGAGGGTGGGGTTATTACAAGCTAAATTGAAAAAAAAAATATAGTTTACTAATTGTTAAATTCTAGACCAATGACAAGGAAATGCTTCTATAAATGTCGATAATCTGTTGGTTGTTTACTAAAAAAAAAAAAGACATAATTCTGCTGATAGGCTAGTTAAATGAGATCAATGGCAGGTGGAAAAATAGAAATTCTGGCAAAATCAAAAAGGCCTTTATTGAAGCATTAGAATGTAATTATCTCATAGAGTGAAATGAAATTCTGAAGAGAACATTAATAATATTGAAAGTGAAAAATATTTTACAACATGATACTTGGTATATCAGAAAAGTCATCGACATCTTTGAAGAGACCATTCAAAATAAAATTTCTTAAAAGTACTCAAAACAAACAAAAAACTAGTAAATGGTCCTAATATATCTTTTTAGAAGTGATATAATTTAAATGAATGTACAGAGTTTTTTTGGCACACCGCGATGAAGTTTTAGTAGAAATTTTTTGCTATCAACCGTCTATAATTATATTAAGTGAAGCAAGATGTACAGATAATATCCAAGATGTTGAAATTGCAGTAGATGAATATGTATGTGTAAGATGTAATTCTTCAAATCGACACACGGGAGGAGTACTTATTTATCTGTGGAACATTATTTTTAGTGTGAAAAAGGAAGATATTCTTGTGCCAAATTATTGGTGTAAAATTATTAACGTTAATTTTAATAAAACTAAATAGTTGATTGATGGTTTTTACCATTCGCCCAGTTCCAGTGATGCGGTCTTTACAGATAAAATTGAAGAATGGTGCGAAGATTTCTTATCAGGAAACATTAAAGATTTAATTGTGGATGATGTTAATATTGATTATTTTGTAGATAGTTTTTATAGCAAAAAGATAACAAGTTTAATTCAGTCTTATGGCATTGAACAAAATGTAAATGATTATACCAGAATAAGTATGAACAGTTTGACATTAATCGATTATGTTTTATCAAATCAAAATATTTCTGTAAGTGTTCATCATTTTCCTAAAATTACAGATCATTCGATTATAAGCATTAATTTTGAGAAAATGTGGATTATGAGAATGAATTAAATTTTTTCTCTAGAAAATCAAATGTAGATAAATATGAGATAAATTTAGAATTAATATCATGTGACTGGTTATTTGACTCAAATAATGTAAATTAAATTTTTAGTCAACTGGAAAGTAATTGTAATAGTTTTAAACGGTGTTGCACCTATTACAAAGATACAGATAAAGAAAAATCATGTTCCAGGGTATGATAAGGAGGTAAAAGTACAAGCCAGAGAGAGGGATAAAATGTACAAAAAGTTTCAGAGCCCAGATAAAAATGTATTGTGGAATGAATACAAAAATAAAAGAAATATAGTTGTTAATTCATTGAAGTGCACGAAAAAAAAGTTTTATGAACATAAAATAGATAAACATAAAAATGATTCTAGGGAAATGTGAAAAACATTAAAAAAATTAATTAAATGTAAAAATATGGAAATTAAATTGGGTTTTCTATTGATGGATCTGTATCTTTCGCTAAAACAGAAGAAGCAGCCAACAAATTAAATATTTTTTTTGTAAATAGTATATGTGAAATAACAAATTCAATACTGATGATTGGTCACTAAATTTTTTAAATGATATTCAATCAACATTAACTGATTTTAAATTAATTACATTAGATCAACTAAAAAAAGCTGTTTTTTATTAAAAAATAAGGGAAGTTGATGAAATATTGAGTGCTAAGTTTTTTAAGGAAACCTTTTATACAACTGGCTTTGCAGTGTTAAATATAATAAAACACCTCACTAGAAACAGGAACACTTCCTGATAGACTAAAAGAAAGCAAGCAAGCAAGATAGTTCCAGTCCAAAAAATTGCAAACATTACAAATGCATCCAACTTGTGACCAAATATTAGAATACTTTAATAACAATGGTTTGTTTGTGGGAAATCAGTAAGGATTTAGGGAAGGCCATTCATGTGAAACGTCTTTACAGTTAACTATATCTAAATGGAAGCAAGTACTTGATGAAAATAAATATATAATAGCAGTTTTTCTAGATTTTAAATGAGCTTTTGAGACAACAGATCGTAAAATTTTGATTAATACATTGAAATATTATGGTTTTGCAGGGCGAGTTCTGACCTGGTTTGAACAGTATATGAATGGTACTTGTGAAGGGTATTAATAAAAAATATGGTGTCAACAATAAATAGTTAAATTTATTATTTATAGCCATTTTTCATTCTAAACCAAAAAAATCCACTTTTAAGGTTTTATTTTCTTCTTGTGAGAGCAGTAATATGGACCGTGATACAAAAACCAATGCAGCCATTATTAATGAGTATCCAAACAAAGGCAACTGTAGTATTAAAGAGGAAGCTTCTAGCTATAATTTTACACTAATTTTATCATAATAGGAGGTAACAACATCAAGAGGCTGCATCATATTAGTCACATCTTTTTAACTATACTAATGCTTGTTTCATGCTTAGGATGTATTTTATTATAAAATTTCAACAACCAAAAAATGTTGTATCCTGAAGTGTGTTATTTTGAAGGGTGCATAAAACTAATGCATACCCCCTTTTCAATTGTATAAGGTTGTAAAATAATAATTTTGGGTGTCGAAATAAATATCAACAAGAAATTAATTCATCTCTACTTAGTCTGATTTATACTTTAACTGATCCCTAATACTCTGTGGGATATCCATACAAGTGTTAAAACAATGATTACCTACTAATTACTTTTTATAATCAGTAATCATTGAATAATATAAAATTTTTGTGAAAATCTACCAGGTTGGTAATAAAAATGAATTTTAAATTCAATATCTGTCCTATCAATCACTTGACAAATGTAGTAAAATGTATGTTTGTATGAAGATTTTTATTTATGTAATTTATATGATGTTTAATTTTACCGAAAATCAAAAATCGGAACTGTAATCATGATTAGAGTCTGGAAAAAAAATGTTGCTTTATTCTGAAAAATATTTACGTTAAAAGATAATAAAAAATATTGCCTCACATATGGACGAAGAATGTTTAAAAGTGTAAAAAATATAGGAATTTAATAATATAATATTTAGCAGTTTTACCTTAAGTCTAACATTGCTTTCTTGTAACTCATATGTATGAGCTTTCAGTTTGACAGAAGGCAAAGAATGTGGACTTGGACTCGATTCAAAATTTGTATTGAACAGTGAATCCATTAGAGTTGATTTTCCCAATCCTGTTTCACCTAAAAATGTAAATCAATCATGTCCTAGCATTCATTACTAACATTCACCGAATTAATATTACAAGCATTTTAAATAAAGGAATTTTCAAAACTATTTATTTTTGTTTTCTAACTAAATAAGTGTAAACCATTTCAAAATTATTGAATGTGAGATTTTATAACTAATAAATATATTAATGTATTAATCATAAAGGCCCACGACGTTTTTGCAATGTTTATGCAAAATTATACAATCTTACAAAACACTTAACATTCTACCTACATAATAGAAAGTTTAAATATTATGGTATGGTGACCCTAATGACCTAGTTGACTGCCTAGAATAAATAATAACGAATTAAAAAATGTTTTTATTTACTTACCAATACACATAATATTAAAATTAAACCCATTTTGAACACTTTTTGAGACCAGCTGGTCAGGTAATGAGTCAAACCCCACATGTCCTGACAAATTTAAATTCCTCACTTGAGGTTCAATCTGAAATGGAAACATGCTGAATAGAATCAAAAACCAGTAACAAATGTTAAGCAATGTAGTGAAAAATGTCTGTTGGTATGTTCTAACTAAACAATTAATCATTGGTATGCAGCTTTATCAAGATAATATTCTATTTAATAGTCAAGGAATGAGTTGTGTTAAGTTAGAAGAAAAAAACAGGCACTATCAGGTACTTTATCATCAGTGTAAGAATATAATTCAGACATTAAAATAAACATGACAATTGCAGATTGAAAATGAGGTGATTTGTTAAAATTTTTACAAATCAAACATTAAATATGTTGAAGCAAAAAATTTATTGAATTAATAATAATTTAATCAACATTGTTTCCAGCAATCTATTAGATTTATAGCAAATAACATATTTGACTGAATCTGAAATATTTACAGTATACCTAATGCATTTTTTAAATCAAACACAAGTTTTATCAATTATTTGTATATTATTAAAAACAAGTTATGATTAAGCACACAGAATTATTATCAATCAATAAATTTATTAATTAAAAAATGATTTACTGGTTAATCTAGATAGGAAATGATAATACTTCAAAACAAAGAAGAAAATCTATTGATTTTTTATTTAACTTTGGAATTATTATCTATTATTTTTATTCTACACTAAATTGATTATAAAAAGTAGGTAACAAATTAATCAAAACTTATTGGATACATAATTTTTTATTGTTCTCTTATCTCTCTAATATAGGTCACATCAATATAAGTTACTGATTGATTAATACAAGCCAACAACACATATACACAATAAGGAAGGATTTCTGAATATACCGTCCCTTAGGGAGTTGAATGATTTTTTTAACTGCTTAATTTAAAAAGCATAAAGTAATAAAGACATAAAAATTAGTATTTAGAATCTCTATTACATCAATTTTTATTCAAGAGTTATGGGTACCAACATAGTGAGATCAAAAAGGAATTCTGAGGGACCCCAATATCACATAAATGCTTGTTTAAAAACTACATAGTTAATTGAATAAATAGCACAATTATTTTATAAATTTTTTAAGTTTTGAGATTCTCATTGATTACTTTTTGTTAAGATATTTTATATGATTTTAATAGTCGTTTTCTTTTTAGAGGTATACTTGACTAACCAACAGTTAGATTATGATCTGAGCTAAGTTAAAAACAATCAACATTTTTATCAATTTTATAATTTATTCAACATTCAACACTATGATTTTGTCCAATGTTATCAGTCTGTTACTCTCTTAAATAATGAATTCATAGGACATGTTTATTCGTATGATGCAGTGAAATACTCACTTTGTTATGATTGATATCAAGATACAGGTTGATTCTAATTTACAATCACAAAAAGAACATACAACTTAGCTGTCAATGTAATTTATCTCAGATTAGTGGTAAAAAGAATGCCACTAATATATAACATATCAATCTACTTTCTGAATATCAGAATTTAAATTTTTTTGGAGTGTTGGTAAGCTCTGCTGCAGCTAGGCCTCATTAGGGCAATCAATGCATCCTCCAAGGGGAAAGTAACTTCCCCTCTAGGTTCATTTAAAGTACAGTTAATAATGTCACCAAAAGTTATCTTTTGTCATTTTAAATTTCAATTAGTAATAATGGTAAATACTATTCCTGCACTGTTTTATTTCATTAATAACCAGCCCACAATTATTTTACCATCTACAAGATTTGGATTGTTTTATACAAAAATGTCGGCCCTGGTGGAGATAAAAGAATGTATCACCTTCTGTATGACTCATAGAATGTTAGTAGTATAAGTACTTGGATAATTTGTATCATAAAATGCCTGTTTTCTTGTATGTTACAAAATGTTTACTCTAGTTCATCCTGACTGTCAAATCTTCAGATGCTAGATTATTAGCATCACCTTTACAATTCCAAACATTTCCTCAATATTTACAGTACCTATTCTTTTTTAAAGAATAGTAAATGAATGTAACAAACTTCTTGGCTTGATTATGTATTTCATTAAAAGCATAGTATTCATTAATGAATAACTGTATCCATTCTTTTCATCTGTTGTTTAGAGAAACACCCAATATTTCAACGGAAATTGATTTTAGTGATATTAATAATAAATTATAAGATTTACTCACAGGAGCAGAATCCACTTCAACGGGTGCCATATTTTATTCGACTGCACTGAATTGATTAACTCTTCAACTTTCTATTTTTGAATTAAATAGTTTTACCGTTCGTTTTTAACTTTACATGGAAATAAAATGCAAACAAATATATTACAGAGGAAGTAATTCTTCCGTGCATAGAATGACAAGAATGAGAATGTGAATGTCAACTTCAACTTGTTGTCAACGTCAACTTATTGACAAGGTGGGGAGGAATCAGTGTTACCAACTGCCAAGTGTGTTGTGTAATCTTCAATGTTGCCAGGATCACTCGGATCCAAATATCGTACAAATTATCTTACTTTTCGTACCCTATCGTTGTTTTTATCCATAAATTAAAACTATGAAGACTAGAGAGAAGGAGGCGAATCGGCAATGGTCAAATTTCAAATTTCTGTCTTTCTTTTATAAAGTTCACGAAATTTACCGCGTTTGAGAATCCACATCGGATGCATTTTTTACATCTCGAGCGTTTTTTTATCCACATCGGACACATCTATCCCATTACATTTACTGCTGCGTTTGAGAATCCACATCGGATGCATTTTTTACATCTCGAGCGTTTTTTTATCCACATCTGACACATCTGTCCCATTACATTTACGTATACTGAATCACGTGATCAAAGATTTACTACATCTCAGATGCATCCGATGTGGAATCTCAAACGCAGCATACGTATACTGAATCACGTGAAGATTTACTACAGCTTTGTCCCAACATCTCACAAAACCGTAATATTACGGTCATCGTCATGCGCAATAAATAAAAACCGTTCGACTTTGGGCTTTATTGATAGGTTTTTATTTACTGCGCATGACGATGACCATAATATTACGGTTTTGTGAGATGTTGGGACAAAGCTTACATCTCAGATGCATCCGATGTGGATTCTCAAACGCAGTATTTATTGGTCACGTGATAAAGTGTCAATGACAAGTTAGAAGTTTATACTTTTTAAATTTGACTTTTGATACTACAAATCAACCTAAATTTGAAATCTAAACAAAAATTAAACAAACTAATCACTTTTATATTCATAAACAAAAGATAAATTGACAAACTTGGCTTCACAGAACACTTACTTTCTGGAATGAAACGAACATCATTTTAAATCGAGATGTTAAAAATATAATCTGAACTGGTACATCTAGTATCTAGGATAGACAAACGCAGATGTAGATGTAGTAGATGTGTCCGATGTGGATAAAAAAAACGCTCGAGATGTAAAAAATGCATCGGATGTGGATTTTCAAACGCGGCATATGTTGTGTTACGGGTTAATAAAAATGCACTGCGATCTAAAAGATCTATTATGCCCCCTTATGTTGCTAAATGCATCGAGAAAATAGTCTCGTACCTATAACGACACTTCCAATCATATCTTCTAAAGGAAGTATTGGATTTGGATTGGCTTCAACTAGGTATGCTCCTTGAATTCTGGGGTACAGAATCTCCACTCACCATATTCCACTCCCAGTTTACTAAGGTGTTCTTTGAGTCAGCAATGCTCAGTAAGGATCCCTGTTACAATGCGTAGCCTGTTCTTGCTCAGGCTGATACAGGCATCCGACCTTTTCTGGTTATATTCACCCAGAAGATTCTTTGCATGTCTTAACCCTAAGGTAATAAAACATATGTGATTTAAATATTCAAAAAGCTAATCCGAGACACTCGATGGTAATAAATACGTATTTTCTGCATTTGTGACGTAACGTTTTATTCAGAGAGACGGGATTTATATTTCAGAACATAGAAAAAATATTTTAGAGAGTCGCATCGCTGGTCGCTATCACTCTGAACGTTAGCGTTTGATAAGGTTCCTACGTTGTTTTACCGATGAAGCGTATAGCTCGACGCAATGCTATTGGAATAACATGTTCTCTCTACATTGTTTAGGCATTTGACACGACAATAATTGTAATAATTATTGAACTAAAATAAAAAATAAATATTGACCGACATATTTTTCGCTAGTACCACGGCTAGGCCCCTTAGGACAAGCCGTCACTTGATGATGTTCATACATCCGACATACGATATGATCCGAAAATGTTTCTCTTGGCTGAATATTTAAAAAAAAGATATGGCGGAATAAATTATATATTATTTTAGTTTTCCTATGAAATTATCGGATATGTTCCGGTTTGAACGGTGTTTGTAAAGTTTCGTAAAAAATAATCACATCGTATATTTTTTTAAATAATCAGGCAATAGAATCATCTTCGTATCATCCTATTGTTGGATGTCGTACGTATGAACAGTAAACCTTAGGTGAAATATGTTTATCGTGGAAGGTCTGGTTGGCTCTCAATAGATTGGTAAAGAAAATAGTATTTTCAACAATAGTTGAAGGAATTAAATTATTGAAAGAGAACATTTCAGGCATATTGGGAAATTAGCGTACATTTCGGATTTATTGTACATGTAATCGTACAGAACACCATAATTATCGTATAAAATGATAATTATCGTGCATCTGGCAACACTAGTCATCTTTCAAAGCCATCGAAAATCGATTGACTTTCGATTGCATTCAAGTCCACCGTGATTCAAAATTAGATCTGGGGATAAGCGACTTCTCTGTATTGGTTAAACTGACTGTCAATTTTTGTGACATCACAAGTAAACATTTAATCAAAAATGGCAGGCGTTATTTGATTTTGAAATGTACTCATACTTTTTGTCATATTTGATTATTTTAAACGTATACATTTAAAAAAAATGCTGAACCAAGTCTCGGTAGAGGCTGTTTATTCAGCTACATACGTAGAAAACTATTTGGACTGCGTAGAAAATCTTCCAGATGAGCTACAACGTTTAATTTCGAGGATGAGAGAATTGGATGTTTATTATTTAGGTAATGAATTTTGTCTTTTTTACAATATTACAGCAAAACTATTTTTTTATAAACTGATTTAAACTTTTATAAGCCATCTTTGACGATATCTCTATTTTATACCTAGTTAGTTTTAATTTTACATACGCTTATTCTATCTTAAAAACTTTATTGAATTTAGAAAGGGTACTGTAGGTTTTGTATATTCAAATGTTTAATAATTTATTGTCATTGTCATAGTATGACTATGACCTCTCTAAATTGTTCTAGTTAAGTTTCTCATTTTGCACATTTATTGTTGCATATTGACAAAACAAATTGTCAATCTGTTATCCTTACTTTTCTCTATTCATTTTAAGAAGAAAGGCACTGCTTAACATTCAAAAGAACACTTATTTACCAATAATCTGAAATAATAAGGACCAAAACCTGTGAAAAATGACAATCCTTTTTGTACAATCAATCAAAAATTTGGTTTTCTATTTTATATTTAATGAAAAAATGAAGGTTTTATCCCCCATGTCATATTCAACATATGTTGTAACAATTTTAATATATTACACTCTAATAGCAAACATATAATGCCCGAAATGTATAAAGTGTATTTTTGAGATGCTTCAGTAAAAGTGACAACCAGATATATATTCATGTAAGTATCATTTTATTCAATAATTTCAGAAAAACAAATAGGGCTAAGTGACACATAGTTACCAGTTAAAATATAAAATGTGTTATTGGTATTTTTTTTGTGAAATCTACTGTTAATGGTAATATCATTAGGCCTACTCTTGTAAAAATTGGTTAAGGTATATGAAAGTTACAGCAGTATTTTTGTAATAGAGGTTTCCTCTATTTCATCTCAGATACGAAATGTGGCAAAAAATCAAAGGATTCTATTACCTTGAAAATTTAAATGGGTTTAACATAGATGTTGCCAATTTTAATCATTTACAGTTATTCTGGATAACCATTGTTGCTTTGTAAATCGCCAAAGTTGGTGTTAGCAGTAAATTTTTTAATTCAGTAGCTTAAAAATATGTTGAAAAACTTTATTTTATCATAGTGATACCTACCTGTGTTATTTAAGAATAAATAAATAAACTAGGGCCAATGGGCTTAAAAGAACTGGCACACTATTTGTATTAATATTTTTATAAAATTGTATTAGTGAATAAAAATGTAAAACAATTTGTTATTGTAATGGTTTAAAAATTTGGAATTGGAAACTAAAGTTTTTAATGCTTACTTAATGTCCCTGGTCAATAAAGTCAACCTCTTACAGGTGTTTGCCTACATAAAAGGTACAATACATCATCAAATGGAGACACAAGTATTTAAAAACCTAATGTACCTAATTTAGTATGCAAAATAATGTTTTTCAAAATAAATAAATAAAAAGTTTTCTATTTTATGAATTCTAAAATCTCAACACAACATGATACAAATAAACAATATTTTTACTTTTTATTGTTTCAACCCTATTAGATATTGTTTGTAATTAATAAACGTAAATTACATAATTGTTTATTATCTATTATTTGTTGTTTACAGTTTTATGAGTCATTTTTTGTATTTAACGAAAAAAAAATTTTTTTTTTCTTTTCTTATTTGATTTTAAGTCTTGTTTTTTTTATGTTCTTCATCGACTATCACATCTGATGGGTATAAAATGTGGTTTTATGCCACAACTTTTTGAACAATGCAAAAAATTGCAGCTATTTTACTTTATACCTGACTTTTATGATGTAGTAAATAATCTTGTAGTTGATGGTCAGTAATGGGCATGTCCAGACCACTCTACACTGACATCTAAAATTGGAAGTGTTCATTTTTTCCAATAATTTTATCATTTGTAAGTGTAGTTCAAAACTATGTACAAGAGCCAATATCACTGTGTTTTTATTATTATTTGAGTTTGTATTAAGTGTAGTTATTAACAATATCATACTGTTTTTAAGTACTACAACTATTAATAAATGAATATATTGTTATATTTGTTTTGTTTTTAATACATTGAAAAGCATCTTAAAAATATTATTAGTTAGTCAACTGACTTTTCTTCATATTTCGAGATTATTTTTACATTTATATCAGGTTATGTAGAAAGCTTGACATTGATTTTTGTGTAAAAAATATCATATATAAAACTTTACCTGCAATTTTTTAGTTTTTATTGTAAATTTAATCATTTGCATTACAAGTGACTGTCAACTACAAGATTACTGATGTAGTATTATTCCTGGCTACCAATCTGAAAAATATTTCCTAATGGCCTTGCATAATTTAAATTATTAATAGTAAATGGCAAAATCCTTAGTTTGTTATAATATATATTACATTCATCTTTCCTGTTTTATCTCATTTATAATTACAATGATACATGATTTTTTTTTTGTATATGTATTGACCAACGTTTAAAAATGTATTTTTATGTCATTTTTCTTCAATTAATGGCCTCCGCCTATGCAGGTATCTGTAAAATATCTTCAAAACATTTCTTGATTATAAATTAATATAAACATATATGTTTTACATACATATTGACAGGTATTTCATTTTTATTTACTAATAATGTATTAATCTAATTAAAATACATTATATCATAGCCGCTATTGGTCTCGATTTTATTGGTGTTCAATTGTTATTTACGTTATGCACTGACTTAAACTACCCATTGGCTATAATTGAAATTTACAGATGAGAATTAGTACGAGAAAATATTTTTCTTCAAAAATAGTGCATATTATCCGCGATTCAAGCTAAGCGGTACGCCCTCTGGAGAACATTTGACATAGATATTTGTAAGTATGTCTTTTTCCAGTGCTGCCAACAGTAGCGGAATTCTGTTAAGTCATGGAAGTTGTTCTTAGTCTCACTCCCCTTGATATTTACATCAAGGAGGTTGCTCTGACGAAAATGACATGTCTCCTTACAGTAGGAATAGAACCTGATGTAGGACCTGGTTATGCAAGACGTTGCTTTTGGCAAGAGGAGCTTGTTATGCTTCCACTGCTTCAAGTGAACAGGGACTCTATAGCAGACAAGCACTACTGACCCTGAAGAGACCATGAATAATTTACTCAGGGTTAGTACTAGAATGTCGTGAAGTTTGGCCAAAGTATCAACAATGTGATCACCTTAAGAAGTATCAAAGGTCACCACATCGAAAGATAACCATCTTACTAATTCAGTAGCCAACCGAATACTTTTTGGACATGGCCCTTTTATTAGGCTGACAACATCAGTAGTGATGGACCTAATTCAAGAACATTCCCTTGTGAAATTCAAGGAAAGATGGTATAACACAAGAAGCCAGGGAGCTTTTAAGTTATCCTGACATTACTACAGCAAACAAATACTTGACTATGACTAGATGGAATCTGTGTACTTTATGGGAGGCTGTTTTTATATTTTATGGAATTTATCTGTTATTTATATTTGGAAAAGAAAATGGTTCAAATAAAAGTTACTTCTAATATTATTATCTATAATTTTTGTTTTATGTCAAAATTTCCTGAAATGGTCCGTATTCGAGAAATTTAACAAAATGTGCAAAATTCTGATTTTTTATGAAAATTGTTGAACTAAAAGTTGTTTGCGATATCGATCTCTATAATTTTTGTTTATACATGATTCTTCTAAAATGGACCGTAATGGGAAAGTGCTAAATTTAAATTTTTCAGTATTTTCGTTTTCAATGAATATCTATAGAAAAATGTATGTGGACAATGTATATATTTAGTTTTTCCTCTAAACATTTATAGAGATGCTGCAATAGGTTGTACAAAATAACCGGAAAAAGTCTATAATAACTAGATATATCAGATTTTTATGTAGGACACTGTATCTTACGATGTATGTTTTGATGTTGTCAATTTTTGAAAACAAATTTAGTTTGAACATCTTTATTGAATATTAAACTGGGAAACGAAACTTTGCCAAAAGGCTTTGCAGTTTTCTGAGACTCAGTTGTAAGTTTCATATTATATTTTTTAAATTTGCGATTTTTGCGGAATCATCAATTTTCACCTGTGTCATTGTTCTTTCGGAGAAACGAAATAAGAAATTAATAAACACTCACCTCTAATTGAAGTCACAGAAGCCCCATGTTCCATTCGTTGTCTCGTCTTTCCCATCCAAGGTCCAAAAACCATTTTTTTCGCGACACCCGGTATATTTAATTCCGGAAATCTTCTGTTCCCGGCGACGAGCTTTCATTCTGACCTCAATACTCAACGTCTCATTCCGTTTCAATAGCAAGCCTTCAATGCCTCCAGGTTGTTATTAAACTCAAATTTTTTTACTTGGTAACCAAAAAATTACATTAATTTAAAATTTTTAACTATAAAAATATGATATATACAAAGTGTTAAAGCAAAAATAGATATAACTCTAAAACTGTAAATGGTTTGCTTAAAAAATGTCCCAAGACAGTGAATTTTTATGTTACACGAATATAGTTAAACATAAAAAAATGTATTTCCTATTGCTTAAATTAGCAGATGTGGTTTCGTTTATAATTAAAAAATTTAAAGAACTACATTGCTTGAAAAATAAATAATTTGACCTATATTTATTTATCGTCTATCTTTATTAAAAAAAAACGGTTTTTTCCAAAAAGGTTCATTTGAGTTTAATAAAAATCCTAAAACCATCGCCGACCATTATTTTTGCAGCCTTGTCCATTCGATCTATGCAGAATTTACACCTTCGAAAAACTAAATACTGCAGATTTTCCGCTCGTACTTTTTCCACAGAAAATAAATTAGAAAGGTGTAAAGTTCTGAAGATAAAACGTCTTTATTGTCAAATGAAACGATTACAAATACACCACATCGTCAATGTCGATACAACAGGCAGAAAGATGTTTCTGCGCATGTGTCCCATCGGCATAGACGACGTCAACAAACATGAGTTGCTTTACGAAAAAAAAACTAATTTTAAAACCGAGTAAAATTGATGTATATCTAGCAACTCCAACATACTCCTACTCGTTACATTTTTCGGACATAGCGAATCGACACATTGATTTTAAAGCACTGAAAAGAGAAAAAAATAGTAAAATTAACTATATTTATTGATTAAAATTTGAATAAATAGAGAAACAATTTCAGTTACTCTATAGGTATAAGTCTTCGAGCATATATTACTAGAGCCATGGTCCAAATGAACTTTGTTTTGGTAGAGGAGGGAAAATAGTGTCCAGCATTCCCATTGGTTTTCGTTTTGCTTGGCATGTCAAATGTTCGAAATTGTCAGAACTGTCATTTGACTTATAGTTTATAAGTTGTATAAACCACCATTTTAAAGGGAATTCAATCTACTATTTTTATATGAAGCAATGCCTAACCCCTATCTCTACTCAGATAGCAATTATAAGCAAAAAAAGTAGAAAGAAAATATATTATTTTGTTTTTTTAAATACTTTTTTATATTTTTACTTCATAAAAAAAATTTATATAAATAATTTGATATGAAATCGTCATCATATTAACTGCATGAATTTTGCTTCGCTCAGAAAGCAATTATATACAAAAAGAGCAAAAAAAAATTGGATTTTTTTCTTTCTTAAATTCTTTTTTTTATGTAATTTTTACCTATAAAAATTTTACATAAACAATTCGATGTGAAATTGCATTCTTTACAAAAATTTCATATTAATTATTTATACTTGAATTCATTGGCGGAGGAAGGGGATCTGGGGGGCTTAGCCCCCCTCCCCCATGTATACCCAGGAACAGTTATTCCGCGGCTAATGCTTGAATTTTGCTTTATTTTCAAAATATTTATAATTAAAAACCTCTTAAGGGTTGCATTTTCACCCCTATCTCCATTTTCCACCCACTAATTCAATAACATTTAGCGAAATTTTCAATTTTATTAACCATTTGAATGATTTATACGATAAAAACCTAGAAAAGTGATCATTCCTTTCTATATGAAATATTTAACAGACTATAAAAAATTTGTAAGTTTGCAAACTGCATTTTCGTTTTAATTTCAACATTTCTTGCATTAAAATAGGTGAAAATTGCCCTACACCATTTCCATATTTATATTTATTTATTTATTTATTTATGTTGTATATTTGAAATGGTTACGCTACTGATTTGAAGTCAAACATCAAATTTATAAAATGGCGGTGGTTGTATCGACAAATTCCCGCATACGACTGCAACTTCAGGTGGTTTCTTCTTTCGTAAAACGAATTCTATTAAATTTAAGATAAAACCTAACAATTCGTTATATTATAGAATATCAAAATATAATAAAAGCGTGTTAAAAATAGAGATAGGTATGGGTAAATCAATATTATAGGTACAAAGGTACTGATTGTTACATTGAAAATTGAGAATGATCACACGTAGAATAGCTAAACACTATTTGATTACCTAGAATACATTTATTAATTATATTGGTAAGTTATCAAACACTTTTTTTCACTAAACAGTTCAATTTCTTAGATTTTGATAACATTGGATTTCGTTTTACAATCGATAAGATGCTTTTCGTTTTTATTGGAACACAACGTTAAATTTTATATGAATTTATTTACCTTTAGTTCCATTCCAAACTCAGGAAGAAGACACTATAAATTATTTAAAATTATTTAAAAAGGTAGTTATGCAACATACAATACGCGGCTTGACATAATTAGTTGCCTAACAATGATATAACTTGAATAAAGTAAAAAACAGTATACGAGGGGATTCCAATTAGTTCAATTTCCTACAAATTTTTAAGACGGCCGTTTAAATCTGACCTATTCAGAATTTTGAGCCGTTACATACAGTGATGCCAGAATATGTTTGTTATATACCAGATTTGTCTAAAAAATGTGCCATATTTCAAAAAAATATAGGTACCAAAAATTTTCTAATTCTCTTTACAGTGATGGTCTGATTCATTAAGGTGCAGAAAAAAGGTCTTATGCTTCGAGAACATATTACTAAAGCCATCGTCCAAATGCACTTTGTTTTGGTAGAGTGGGAAAATAGTGTCAAACATTCCCATTAGTCTGTTTCGTTTTGCTTGGTATGTCAAATCGTTCGAAATTGTCAGAACTGTCATTTGATTTTCATTAATTTCTAGCTTATTTTTGTAGTTTATAAATATTTTTTTGTATTTTATTATTTTACTGATACAAATTAATAGTGTCTAGGCATTTCCCCTCATAACGTAAACAAACCCTATTGAATGCGGACTCTATGAAATATATATGCTCGAAGGTATGTGTGTGTGTGTGTTTGTGTTGTGTTTGTGACAAATGACAGATACAAGAAAATTAATTTGAATCGCGAATGCCATAGCAGGTTTATGACATATTTTGTTATGACTGAATTATTACGGTATACTACGACTCATGTCAAACGAATTCACATGCCAAACGTTCAGACCGGATTTATTGGTATAAGAATAATTTACTAATTTATAAAAGGAATATCACTTTAAAAACTGTTTTAAGACTGTTTTAGTACACAAGTTTTTGACACAATTTCTTGTACAATTTAAATTGTATATTGCAACCTGCAATAAATTGTCTCAAAAATTAGATTGGATAATCCTTTTTCAAACAATTTACTATGTGATCTTATACAATTTAAATTCTATAAGAAATTGTATCAAATCTTGTACAAGAAATTGTATAGTCAAAACAGTTTTAAGATGTGTGCCCTACTCCACTGGTTCAAATGAAAACAACATATTTTAACCTAAAAATACTTACCGATGAAAGGATAAATTTCGATTTAAATGATCTACCTTATTGAACACTACACATGCATGTACCATAATTCTTTATATTTCTCACAAAAGTTCACAAAAATAGTATTTTATAAATCAATCAATCAATAAGTCATACAGAAACTGTCAGAAACACAAAATAGCTGTTAGACCCGATTGGCAACGTTGCGGCTGGTTACGATAACTACATTTCATTCATAAAAATAAGATATTCAGCGTTGCCGTATTTACGGAGTTCTTTGCAACCCCAATATTTTGTTTAGATTAACATTGATTTTTAATAAAAAATTTAGCTTATATTAAAACTTTAAAGAATAATTTGATTAAAAACATATTTTTATTTATATAATATAAAATTATAGTTATAGGACACATCAAATTTTATTTTTCGAAAATAATTTCTCCAAATAATTTTTATAGACTGATAAAACCGGCAAAGACGCAATAAGCGAGAATCTGGTGGGAATAATGATTTTCCACATAAAAATGTAAACAATTTGGTCTCTTAGTTGTAATGTCTTTGATATGGCGTCTTATGGAAGTGTCACATCCTTCGCTATAGTTTATCATCCTTGGGTAGATACTTCATGAAATCTGGATTTTGATATAGGACTGTTAGGTTTACCCACAATTATAAATTTATTTTGAAATATCTTTATCCAAATAAACGTTTCTTACCCAACACTGGCGAAAGTTTCTCTGTCTCTAATGTCGCACCTACCCTTTGCCACTTATCTACTTTCTTCATCCACGATATAGAGCTAAAACGTTAATTTTAGCTCGTGTGAGAGAGGTGGCTATTCAGACTGAAAATTTCAAAAATATGGGCAACGACAATCCAGCTAAAAAGGCAAAAAGTTTCTCAAGAATGCAACAAGCTTTGATTGCAGCACAAGAATTAGGAGATGAAAAAATGAGTCTGCTGCAAAACATTTTGGACAAAATAGAAATCAAAACGAGATTGTTAGATCAAGATTTTAGAAATTTAGGTATTTCTATCTTTATTAACTACTGTAAATTGAATACTAGAAAGTATATTATTTTTTAGATTTTGGTAAAGAAGAACCAAGTCAAATTGAAGTTAAAGAGCAACAACCAGTTTTGAACAGCACTCCTACTAGCAATAATAATGGCAACACTGCAAATACCACCACCAATAGTAATTCTGCAAGCACTGAGAGACCAGCGAAAAGGGCGAGAAGAACTCGTCATGACACTTATTCGGGAACAGAAAATAATGATACTATACCAGTTGAACATGTTCTTAGAAGTCAAGTTCCCAGTACAACACCCACTAGTACTGTACAGAAAAAACAATCGACAAGTAAATAACTAATCTCAAATTGTTCGAATATCAACATTTCTGTTTTTAGGTAAAAAGAAAAAACGCAAATCCCGACAAAACACTCAAGTGCAAAAAGAAGAATCTCCACCAAGGGATGAAGAACCGGCAATCGATCCAGATGAACCTACTTACTGTCTTTGTGATCAGATTTCGTATGGTAAGTGATTGAAAATTGGTCAAAACATTCTCACGCTCAACGGGACGGAGCTTTATGGGAAAACGACCAAAGATAAAAAATTCGTTTGGGAGGAATACGTAGGTTACAGACGGCTACAATTTAAAATTTGTTAGATGTATACAGGATGTCCCACATAAGAGAAAATATACAAAGTTATATTATTTTTAATGGAACACCCTGTTTTTTATTTTAGAATTAAAAACTACATCAAAAATAATGTCAGTTAACTAAAGGTTCCCTATTACTATTATTATTCGTTTTCGATTTATTTGATTTTTTAACGAAAAAAAGTCCCAGAAATTAATTGTTTACTCTTGTTTGAATAATTTTTAATAAACTAATTTTTTTTTCTTATGTGGGACATCCTGTATACATCTAACAAATTTTAAATTGTAGCCGTCTGTAACCTACGTATTCCTCCCAAACGAATTTTTTATATCTTTGGTCGTTTTCCCATAAAGCTCCGTCCCGTTGAGCGTGAGCCACCCTGTATATTAGCAATAGGTTTGTTCGTACAGCGATCCACAACCGTTTCCAACTGAACAGCGCATGTGCATTGAATATTTTGCGTTCGTAGAAGAATCACTGATAGTTTCCAATTATTAGTTTGGCGTTCGTAGAAACAAATGAAGTGATTTCTATCTGATTGGAAACGGTTGGAAAAATTCCTGACTATTCTGCGGATTTTAAATCCGAGGCATGCGCACATAAAATATGTTTAACAACTTACAACTTGACATTTGTTTGACGTGAAATTTATGTGTTTATCATTCGTCTGTGCTTTTGTTGATTTGATTAGTTGTTTTTTTATAAGTTTAATTAATACACCTACATAAAATTTAATAAAGTATGTAATTACATTATCCTGTTAAAATATCAGCCTTTAACTTCAAAACATGAAGTTAGGATTCAAAACAGGTAATAAAAGTTAAATATATTGATAAAATGGGGTGCAATTCATAAACAAAACATACGTGGTCATTATGTGACTCATACAACGTAAAAATTCAAATAATGTTTTTTTTTGTCCGTTTACTAAATCTGTATCTAACATTCGAGAATAGATAGAGACGAATCCACAACTCCACAAAATGCGTTCGCATGCGCATCATAAAAGAATCACCAACCGTTTGAAACGGTATCCTGAGCTACTTCGCTAAATACAACCTTATGTTTCACATATACCACAGCTTTATTAATAAAAAATCTCTTGCATCTTTTCCTAACTGTTTTGATTCCAATCATCCCAAGACATTGACGGTGTCGTCTGCTCTGTAAACGTACCCATTACTCATTGTACAACCCTACTAACCTAACCTACAAAATGTCAGAAGACTTTGAACTAAAACTAATGAATTATTAAGAGCTTCTTACTCAATTGACTATGATGTCATCATGCTTACAGAAAATTGGCTTAAAAATAGTATTCGGAATTCAGAATTTCTTAATGTCGATCAGTTTGCTATCTTTCGTCGCGATAGAAACTATGCAATGCTGGATTGTCAACGTGGTGGAGGAGTTTTAATTGCCGTATACAATAATATTAATGCATCAGTTCTGTCAACTCCAACCAATGACCTATAAGATGATAGATATATGGATTCGGACCAAAATATTAAATGATGATATCATTTTACTCCAAACTCAACCTTTGAAAGTTACGATCTTTTAAGTTATACTTGTGAATCTTTAAGCAACAAATACGACGCGTTGCTCTAGATTTTGCTTCTCCATTTTCGTGATGAGCACCACCAACACCCGTCTACTAAACAAGACACAGCCGGCGAACTAAACAAACTAGAGAGATGGTAAAAATATCAAGGGAAAGGGAAAGGATGTCGGGGGAAGGGGAGAGGGAGTTTCAATGTCGCAGGTTTACCACAAGCGCGGCAATAAAATCGGTCTCATTACTTAATTGTCACACCACGTATAATAACAGATGAGATATTTATGTCTTTTCAGTGTTACATTGCACCACAACAGCATGGCTTTTTCAAAGGGCGATCAGCAATTACTAATCTTGCTGATTATCAGCAGTTTCTTTTATCTATCTGCAATAGAGGATGGCAAACAAGTGGACTCTATCTACACTGATCTGTCTAAAGCTTTCGGCAGCGTTTGTCATTCCTCGCTGTTAGATAAATTGAAGATGATGGGTATTATCGGCAACTACCTTGAGTTTATTCATTCCTATTTAACTGAACGTCATTAGATAGTGAATTTGTGGTTTCACATTTTGGTACATTCAGGTGTGCCACAAGGCTCGTATATAGGACCTATATTGTTCATACTTTTTATTAACGATGTAACTTGTTTTAATAACTCCAATTTCCTCCTATATGCAGATGACCTAAAATTTTGTTCAATCATCAATGACCTTTCAAACAATCACTTACAATCAGAGCTCAGCAATTTGGTTCAATGGTGCAATGATAACTTGCTTAAACTGAATATCGAGCAATGTAAAGTAGAAAGATTCAATAAAACAGCTAATATCATTGTACATGATTATTCATTGCAGGTTCTGAACTAAGTGTTGAGCAAACTATAAATGATCTTGGTGTTATTTTTGACAGGGACCTATCATTTATTTATCATTTGGAAGAAATTGTAAATAGAGCTTTTCGACTGCTGGGTTTTGTCAAAAGGAACACCAAGCACATTTATGACACGTCAGCTCTGAAGAGTCTTTACAACTGCTTAGTTCGAAGCATTTTAGAATACTGCTAAGTGATTTGGGCACCTAACTACAATTGTCATATTGAAAAATTAGAAAGAGTGCAAAATAAATTTTCGAAGTATCTACTATATAAACATAGGCTTCCATCGCAAAATATAGATTACCAAACTAGAATTCTGTTGTGCGGACTTAGGAGTTTGGAATGCAGACGTCGAGAAGCATCCCTTGTTTTCCTGTATAAAGGCTGTATGTCACGATACTAAATTAAGTACTAAATTTAGAACTAAATTAATGCATTTTTTAAGTACTAAAAAAATGTACGTTGCAAACAGCAAATTTAGTACTAAATTTAGTACTAAAAAAAGTCATTAATTAATTAGAACTTGTTCTATTTTCTATTAAATTTAGTACTAAAAGTGCGTCGAAATGTTGCGCAGTAGTTTTTCACAGAAAAAATTGACACGACGGTATTTTCTGTACCATTTTGTTTTTAATTAGCGAAAATTTTGCATTATCGACTTGAATAAAGTTCGCTTGTTTGATTTTGTAGATTTTATTGTTTTTTTCGTGGTTTATAGTAGCATTGCTGTATTTGGTTGTTGTCATGTCAAATTGATAATAAAAACACCATTTTACTTCACTTGTCTATTTTACCCAGAATATTTCATTTCTCTGCTTAATTCTCGTATTAATACGTCAATGCGCGTGCGCCTATAGTTAATTTAGTACTAAAAATTGGTATCGTTGCAAACGGAAAAAAATATTTTTAGTTCTAAATTTAGTACTAAATTAATGACTTAATTTAGTGCTAAGTTTAGTACTTAATTTAGTATCGTGACATACAGCCTTAAGTTATTAAATGGTTTGATTGATAGTGACAGCCTGGTAAATTTGATTAGATTCCTTGTTCCTTGCCAGACTTACTAGACAGATTAAACTATTTTATGTAAATACTCATAGAACTAACCATGGACAGAATTTATTTGTAGACCGACTGATATCTAATTACAATAAGTATTTTTCAAATTATGACATTTTTAATACAGGTTTGTTTTCTTTAAAGCGTCAACTTTCATTACATTATTGACTTCATTTTTATACTGTGACAATTTTATTAATTTCTTTTTTATTTTATTTTAATTGATATTTTAAATATACCATTTAGAATTTTATGTATCTGTAGCGTACTGTAAACTAATAAACTGGCTCTAGGAACAAACCTAATTTTATATTGCCTACACAAGACCGCAGAATATAAATAATTTCAAACTGACAACGATTTTCGATAAATAATTGCTCTTTCTGGCGATCGATTTTATAGTTCTAGTAGAATTGCCGCGAAATTCACCATTAGTTAGTAGAAGTAGTAGCAATATATTTTTTTACTTTAAACCATTTTTAGGTGAGATGATAATGTGCGACAACGATCTGTGTCCTATAGAATGGTTCCATTTTTCGTGCGTTACTCTTTCTACCAAACCGAAAGGAAAGTGGTACTGTCCGAAATGTCGCGGTGATCGGCCGAACGTCATGAAACCGAAGGCGCAGTTCTTGAGGGAGTTGGAAAAATACAATAAAGAAAAAGAAGAAAAGACGTAATAATAATTAAACAACCAAAAGTTGGATAGCGGAGGGATGGAATGAATTAGGTGTATATATCGAAAAATTTCAGTATCACAAATTCACAGTTAATGATACATCTTTACTATATAAAATGGGTTTCAATTTGTGTGGAGGTAATAGGGACTATTTAGGTATAAATTGAAATTTTTATCCATTTTATATGAACGCCAACATTTTTGTGATACGTTTACTTTTTTTGTATTATACACAAAATTTCCCATCTGTCGATGGCTAAGGTACTTTGTTGTAATTTATAATCTGTATAGAATTTTTTTTCTCTGTAACAAATAAGATTTATGTTTATTATACTTGAGGCTCTTCCAAGATAAGGTAAAAATTAATTTTATATAAATAAGTAGGTCAAATACAGAAGATTAAAAAAATATATATCAAGCTCGTTATTTATACATTAAATTTCTCCATATTTGTTTTATAAAAAAACTGGCATATCTTTGTTTTATGACTCCCGAAATTTCATTTTATGGCTATCCCATATCATAACTGTTGAATGCGTTTCTCAGATCAGTAATCTGTCGTAGACGTACCCAGATATATTCGACTCCATTCCTATTCGCTGAAGGGGAGGAATTAACACCATATAAGAAAGTAGATTCTCTTGAAATTTTTTTAATTCTTATCAATGAGCATATAAATAATCAGTACAGAGAGTAAATCCTTCATTTTATTTTTCCTCTCTCAAAATTGTATTTTAAATTTTTCAATGTTTTGATTTTTTTCTTAAAATTTCAACCATTTTCAAATTATTGAATTTTTTTCTAAAAATTTTGACTAAGTATTTCTCCAAATTTTGATTTATTAATATTGTTTTTTTTTTAATTATTTTTTCAATATTTTCTCTCCCTAAATTTTGATATTCTCAAAATATTTAATTTTCTGGTCCTTATTTTCTCAAAATTATGACTACTTCCCAAAATTTTGACTTATATTATTTTTTCTAAAAAAAATTGATTATTTTTCAATACTTTGACTTTTTTTCTAAAAATTTTGACAATTTCTCAAAATTATGACTTATTTATATTGTTTTTTCTAAAAAAATTGAATATTTTTTCTCAAAATTCTCTCAAAATTTTGACTATTTCCCAAAATTTTGACTTATATTATTTAAAAAAAAAATTGAATATTATTCAATATTTTGACTTTTTTCTAAAAATTTTGACTTAATATTGTGTTTTTATTTAAATTATTTTTTGAATATTTTTTCTCAGAATTTTGACATTTTTTTACATAATTTGACATACTGCTCAAAATTTTGACTTTGACATCAGACTTCCTTCTTTTTTTCCCTCAAAATTTTTCTGAAAATGTCGACTTTCCCTCAAAATTTTTTAAATATTTGACATTCTCAAAATTTTACTTTTTCCTAAAATTTTGACTATTTTCTCAAATTATTTACATTTTTCTTAAAATTTAGCTTTCAAAGTTTTAACTATTTCTCGAAATTTTTACATTTTTACCTGATCCTGTACTGTTGTTCATAAAGAACAGAATAAATCTGTCAAAATTTTAATATTGAACTTTTGACAATTTTTTTTCAAATTATTGACATTTTTCTTAAAATGTTGACTTTTTGTCTCATAATTTAGCATTCTAAATTTTGACTATTTCTCATAATTTTGATTTTCCTAAAATTTTTACCAGTGTACCAAAATTTTTCAATATTTTGACTTTTTCTCTAAAAATGTTGATTATTTCTCAAAATTTTGACTTTTTATTGTTTTTTCTAAAAAACAATTTTTTTCAAATATTTTGACTTTTTCTCAAAATTTTGACATTGTTAAAATTTTTGACTATCTTTCAAAATTTCAACTATTTCTTAAAATGTTGACTTATTTCTCTAAATGATAAATTTACCTTTACTTGGTTTTTTTCAAGATATTGAGTATTTTCTCGAAAATTCAGCTTTATTTTTTCGACACTTTGACTTAATTTTTTTCAAGATATTGAGTATTTTCTCGAAAATTCAGCTTTATTTTTTCGATACTTTGACTTAATTTTTTTAATATTTTGACTCTGCTCGCAAAATTGACATTTTTCTCAAAATTTTGACTATTTCTCAAAATTTTTAATTTTTACCAAAACCTGTATTTTTCTGTTGTTTTTAATCTCTCAAAATTTTGACATTTTCTTTCAAATTTTAGACTTTTCACGTTTTTCTCTGAAAATTTTTGTTTTTAAAATATTTTATTTATTTATTTCTGTTAATACGGACTTCTTAGTTTTTTTTTTTTTTTTTCTTAAAAAATTTTTGACTGTTTTCAATTTTTTGACATTTTTCTCAAAATTTTAAATTTTGTCTCATAATTATTTAGCATTCTAAATTTTGACTGTTTCTCTAACTATTGACTTTTTAGGAGAACCTTAATTTTATTTTCTCTCAAAATATTGATTTTTTTTTTTTTTTTTTTTTTTTCGAAAATTGACTTTATTTTTCAATATTTTGACTTTCGTCTTTCAATATTGCACTTTTTCTCTAAATATTTTGAAGTTTTTCTAAAAAAATTTCTCTCAAAATTTGATTATTTTTAAAATTTTGACATTTCTTCTCAAATGATCGCTATTTTTTCTCAAAATTTTTACCAGATCCTGTATTTTCTGTTCATTATTATTTAAAAATTTTACTATTTTTTAAAATGTAGACAATTTTTCTCAAATTTTTGATATTTTAAATTTTGAGTTTTTGTTCATAATTTAACATTCTAAATTTTGACTATTTCTTAAAATTTTGACTTTTACCTGATACTTCATTTTCTGTTGTTCCGTATTCCCTCAAAATTTTAGTATTTCTCAAAATATTGAGTTTTTTTCTAAAAAAATTGATTTTCTCAAAATTTTTACATTTTTAAATATTTTGCTCAAAATTGTTCACGAAATTTTGGGTTTCCAAATTTCGACTATTTTTTATAATTCAAGAAATTAAATAAATATTCACTTTTTACGAGCATCTTTAACCAAAATATTGAGTTTTTCTCGAAAATTTGACTTTATTTTTCAAAATGTCGACTTGATTTTATATTTTAATTTTGACTTTTTTTCTCGAAATTTGACTATTTCTAAAAAGTTAGATTATTTCTCAAACTTTTACATTTTTACCAGATCCTGTATTTTCTCACAAAATTTTGACATTTTCTTTCAAATTATGGAATTTTTCTCTCAAATTTGAATATAATTTAATAGGTAATTCAATACGGGTACGTTTTGACCTTAGAGGCTTACCCCCTCTACTCGTTCGTACGAACAAGAAGCATTTTATGTACGCCCTATGCGGGGAGGTACTACTTCAGACCAGGGTACAAAAAAAATCCTTTACCACTTATTACCTGTTATTAAGAACCCAAATACAAATACAAAAGGGTAATTTATTAATAAAAACAATTTGTACACAATTCATAAATATAGAAGTTCAAAATTAAATATCGATAGTTTTTAAAGAATGTAATCATTCAAGGGTAACATTTTTTGTTTATGGTGAATATTTATTATCCATTTGTGTTCAACACATTTTGCTTTCTCATTAATTTCTTTCATTGATGAACTATTTTCCTTCGTTGTAACTATGACATCAACATTGGCTGTAACATCATCAATACATTTACTGAAACAGATAATTAAATGTGTTAGAAGAAGAAGAAGGCTTTAGTGCCTAAAAATGTGCAGTTCAAGTTCCAGTTACCTAAACTTGTACTAAAAAACACATAGAGATCGAATTTCTGAATCTTTTGAAACTGTTTATGTAATTAAAATGAACCAAAACATAAAATTCTTACCCGTTATAAGCTTTAATATATTTACACAATGTGTTGTAGGTTTCATCATCAAACGTCTGATCAACATAAAATTTTTCTTTCTGAAAAATATCCGGAGGAGGGTTATTTCGATTGGTTGCTGAATAAGCTTCGTCATCTGTGTCTTCATCAAAAATGTTTGTTATTTTTGAATCATCAGAGCTACTTTGTGGTGTATCACAGTTTCTCTTATTTTTAAAAACCGATAAATTATTTTCCGTTTCTTCATCCGTACTTGCTTCTTGTATATTATACATAGCATTTTTGGGACTATCTTTTTTGGTGTTTTCTCTTTTTTTCTTTTCTAGAATTCTCGCCACTTTTTCTTCTGTATCTGAACCTGCCGCTTTACTAAAATAACGTTTGTTTAATAATTTACATTAAATAAATTTTTAGCAAATCAGATCTAAATTTGTTTTTTAAACAATATAATTTGGTGTCTTTTAGAATGTCTTATTCACAACAGCACCATATTTGTTTGTAGTTACATCTCCTGTTATCTCTGATATGGGTCAAATGTGTTTATTATTTTTACTTTCTCTCGATACTAGTATTAAGAAAATTAAACAATATTCTGTTAATTATTAGGAAACAGAATATAATATCTTTTTAAGGGAAAATACAAGGTGGAATTAATGTTATAACATCGCAACTAGAGTTGGCCGATATTTCACGAACTGTGATTTAATCACTGATATCAGTAACGGTCGTTACTTTATGATCTCTTTAAAAGTAAGTGCAACATTTAAAAATTAGAGACCCTGTACTGTAGCTCTCCTGAAAAACTATAAGTTTGCCACGGTATACAAGAAACTAACAATCTTATTGCATTTCCCCATACATTTTTACTGAGGATGACTTTCTAGCGAAGTAACCGAAAAACCCTTAATTGAAGATCACAAACAGTGAAAATAAAATAAGTAAATTTACATGTATACTACCCAGTAATGAACAGTTGGAAAAAATATCAACACAGCTAGTTTATCCTTCTGGACCCTCAGAAGGATATGAGGCAAAGCATGAGGGATTAGTTTTCAACTGATCTACTGGATTTACCAAACCGTGATAAAACCCGTGGTTACGTACGGCTCCGTCGTCTGGTGGGACAAGTGACCTTAACAGACGACCAGCGGTTTGCGTACGTAGCCATCACTGACAATGTCAACCACACTGACTGGCGCCATGGAGACCATGCTGAACCTAAACCCATCTTCGCATTTTACTGGAAAGAGATCAGTATGGTTTTCTATAGAATCCAGAAAGTGGGTAGTCAATGTAATGAAGAACTGCGATAGGACGACAGGACTAATGAGTGAGATTAAGGACCCCCACTTCCTCGGCATGGTCTAGTATTGCTAGTTTCCCGACAACACAGAAAAGTCATACAACCTCATCATTCCAGAGAGAGGCGTATAGAGCAAGGGGAAAACTCTCCCAGAAGCCAAGAGATGACATATCAAACCTGGGCTCTCTGGCCATGATCTTCCAATCAGAAATGATTGCTATAGAATTGGGAGCGAGAGTTGATTAATTTTCACCCCGCTAACAAGATTATAAAGATCTTTTCGGATAATCAGGAAACCCTCAAAGCCCTGAGCTTCAATTAAATTGACTCGGAGCTTGGAAGTGTATAAATACCCTCGAGTGTCTCTGAGCCCAGAATAAAGTTACTTTGATCTGGGTTCCAGGACACAGCGATTAAAAACCCTGCGCGCTCGTAAAAAGAGGAACTGAGTTCATTGGACAAGAACTAAAGAGCACTGCCAAGGGTATTATCTCAAAATGGACGGAGGGTGTAATAATCTTAAACTGGAGATCCCAGGACTAACTCATTCGAAGGCGTTTACAACCAACCCTTCCATGAATGCCTCTGCTCAGATCCGGGAATGGAGCTTAGATAATATAATAGCAGATAGGCCACCACTGCATAAAGTTATACAATATTAATCTCGCTATCATATAATCAGTATATCTCTTTCTAATGAAGGCTTTCTCACTCGTTTTAGAATTCTCAGCAGTAGCGTACCGTAAAACAATTTCGCTGGGTCATTTTAAATGCGAAAATGTTGACCAAATAGAATATAAAATAAAATGTTTTAAAAGGTAGGTAGGTAGGTAGGTAGGTGCATTTTTAATGAAGTGAAAATAAAATATGACTTTTTTGTTATGAATATAATATTAATAACAATTACTTTTAACACCACAACACGAACAAATTTAAATTAAACACTGGAATAATTGTCTGAGAAAAGCTCTGTAAAACTGACAAATACAAACAAAGAGATAGAGATATTAATCTATTTCTTTCTAATTAGAATTCTCGGCCATATTATCATGGCGACACAAACATTGTTTACTGTCCTCTCTTTACTACTTACTTACTCTGAGGAATGGAGTAGGAAATACCTACACATATTTACGGGACTGATGACAGGTCATTGTCGTCTAGGTAACCAAATGAGAAGGATAGGTCTGCAACACGCACCGGACTGTCAATTAGATGAATCTGAAGAACACATTCTATGTACCTGCTTTGTTTTGGAAATAATTAGGTTCCAGATCTTCAGAGTCACCAGACTGGAGTTTACAGACTTTAAACTATAAGTTAAACATGAGCCACACCCGTTGCCGTTAATGCGATTCCAACTGCAGAAATTAATGAAATAGTATTGAGACTTTTGACAAGGTTCTAAAATTAACTTCCGGTTAAAATATTAAAATATCGAACTCTACAAGAAGATGGGTCTCTTAAAATCCAATCCACGCCAAGTACATCGAAACAACTAAATGGTTACTATAACGACAAGTTCTACAGATTATTTAAGTTAGAGGGGACCATATTGGATACATTTTGGAATACATTAATGTAACTTTCTAATTTTTTATTAAAAAAAAAAACAAAATATATGCTTATAATAATGATTTATATGCAAAGTTTAGAAGGAAGTATCAACTTATTCGCACTATAATACATCGTTGAATAAGTGATACCTCATATGTGCTGAATAATCTCTATGTAGGTTCGAGTTATCACTTCTTCAAAGACGATGTTTAAATGCAAAATGTGCGTTCTCAGTAATGTCGACATTATCCTTTCCGTAAGGCATAAACAGAAGGTACCATTTGGGAACGCGCGACAAACGTCAGGAGACCGAGACACCAGTGAAGCGGCAAATATTGCAATACTAAATCTGATATCGTCTGTCGCCTCTACCGAAATGTGTTTCTTATAATTACATGGGTTCAGATGTGAAGATACCCTTTAGTGCTCGCTTATTGTCTTGGCTTGCGAAATGGTAGCTTAAAACTTTCGTTTTTACACCATCAAAATAATGATATAGTGCCATTTTGCCCAAACCCACTTATTTTGGGAAAACTAGACAACATTCATACCTAACCTTTCAAGTAAATATTGGAAGTTCGTTGTTTCTGTGCCTATTAAAATAAAAAAATATTTTCCATCTATTGTCTCCTTGTTGGACACTCCATATCTCACTCTCGGACAAGATTGTCCAACAGTAAGACTTTGTTTTTAATTTAAAATAAAATTTGTATATATTTGCCATTCAATTTAATAAAAAAAATTGTCAGAATTAGTTTCCAAATAAAGCTAAATATTATTCAGCACTGGTTAAAAATATGGCGCATTAAAACCAATGAACCTAAGTCCATGCATGTAACGTTTACATTACGTAGTGAAACATGTCCTCCTGTGAATATGAACAATTGTCAACTTCCGCAAGTCGAAGATGCTAAATATCTCGGCATACAATTACACCGCCGCCTTTTACCTGGAAAAAATATATATTCACCAAACGCAAGCAGTTGGGCCACATGTATTGGCTCATCGGCCGCGAATCAAAATTGTCCTTGGACAAGGTATTACTATACAAGACCATTCTTAAGCCCATTTAAACTTATGGGATTTAGCTTTGGGGCACCGCTAGTATTTCCATTATAAACATTCTGCAAAGGTTCCAAAACAAGGTATGTCAATGTGCCTTATTACGTCTTTAACGAGGTGATTTAGCACATCCCCTCAAAAATCGTTTGTGCGAAATACAGTGAACGAGTGACAATGCATCCTAATGTGCTTGCCAGACAAATGTGCAAGATGTCAATGAAGTTCGTAGTCTGAAACGACTACTGCCCACAGGCCTCAGATAAGTTAACTTTAGATTTAGTATTTAGAGTAATTTTTAAAGATCACTCATTGGGTTGATACTCTACATGTCATTATCTTCAAATCATAACAAAGACTTTATAAACAGGTATATTGCAGTATCCACTAGGAGTTAAAATAATAATAAAAAAAGAATTAGTTGTCTAATTTTGTACATGAAAACTTTAAAAGTTATAGATAAAATAAAAAACTGGTCCCGCTAAAGGGCGTTTTTTCCTATCAATTATACCTCTGATATCGTTGAAGTTAATATCGTAATATGATGACAATACTTAGCTATACCTCTCTGTTAATTGAAATAATTGTTCCTGAAAAATCGTAAAGGTTATTCTTTTTATACAAACTACTTACTGATCGTCATCATCACTGTCATTCATTGGTTGATAAGTCACAGGTGTAATAATTGTAGCAGGTTTAACCAGTTCCTCAATTTCATCTTCACTTTCAGATTGATTATTATCGTTTTTATCTAATGCAAATCGTCTCCATGGCAATCTCTTTCTCTCACTGTGGCAGTTTTCCACCCAATGTTTATTAACAATTTTTCCTTTTCCCTTCACTTGATTGAACTTCGGCGTATTAGGGAAAGCACAGCTATAAAAATAATAGATTAAATACACAGGATCAAAATGGAGCTATTACATTCTGATTTTCGGCATTATTTTAAATTTAAACTTACATCAAATGTGTACAGGTTGGATCCCAATCAGTTTTATATTTGGCTCCCATGGACAAAGCCATTGTTCTTATATTTGCTCTGTCAGGATTTTGAATTCCGCTAATCACTAGAACAACGTTTTCTAGTAATTTATTAAATGGTTTTGCAACTTTTGCTTTTTTAGGTTTCTTATTGTCAGATAATCTGATCTTTTTTCTTTTAGTTTCTTTAGATTCTTCCTTTTTTCTATTACTTGTATTGGGACTATTACTTCCCTTGCGAGGACTCTTTGTTTTCTTATCCGAGTCTTGTAAGTCAAACAAGTTAGATCGTTTAGCTTGTTTCTTTTTAATTGCATCTTCATCATCATCATCACCAAACAATCTTTTTGCTTTTTGACTAACTTTCTCGTCATCTTTCGTTTTTGATTCTACGTCTTTCTCCTTTTTATTCATAATGTTATTAATTTTTTCATTGCCCTTCAAGTCATCTTCATCATAGTACAGTTCATTCCGATTTCTATCTTTTCTGCTTGGTTCTTCGTTATTAGATGCTGCTTTTGGTGTTGAATTGAGGTTTTTGTTTGATAATTTTGGTTTGCAAGACGGCGATTCGTACAGTAAAGAGGAAGAAGACGAGGCATCTCTAATGGCTGCAGCGGCTACAAAAACAATATTTTCTTACACTAGCTTCATTACTAGCTTTTCAAAGTCAAGAAAGGACAAAAATAAAATTACAGTGTAAGAAAAATTATTCAAATTACACATACAAGACTACTGATGACACTAAACAGAATTTTAAATGAATATACAAGTACCTGTAGTGGTTTTGTCATTTTGTTTGTAATCTTTCCTCTTGGCAAACAGATTACCAGCAGATAGCATATCCGGTGATTTCGGTCTAATTGAAAAATTTCCAATTTTTGTTGGATTAGGAGGTGCAGCTAATTTAGATTCGTTTGAATGTAAAATAACAAACGAGATACCGAATTGGACGTGTTTGTTGAAAGGTTGAGTACAAACTATTTTTATTCTATCCCATTTTTCGTCACATTCCGGTTTAGATAATTGATCTTGAGTAAACATACGAACTTTATTAACATTTTGACTTTGTCTTGCTTCTAAAGGGGTCATAAACGACGAAGTCACCAGTAGAACCTAAAATATATAGGCTCATATAAAGTACATTTAAGCTTTGTTTTAATTATGGAGAAATATAGACCCGATTTGCTGTATGTGCAGTTTTTTCCTATTCAATGATTTTAATTTATAGATTTTTGTTTAATTTAAAATACTAAGCTTGTTTAAGGTTTATTTCTAAATTGCTCTTCATTAAATATTTGGAATATTATACATTTTGCAACAATGGCTATCGACAAAATATTGGCGACTGTATTTTCAACACTCTGCGAGAATGTCACCCTTATTAGGACTCTTCAGCAATAAATGGAAATTCTCGACTCCAGTCTCTAATGGAGTCTGATTAGAACACAAATTTCGATCGTACTCAATTACGGCAGGTCGAGCATGTGTAGATGCGAAAGTGGTATCGCCATCTATACTAAGTAAGCAAAATCAAATAACATCTAGTGGATATCCACGATGGTTTGCGTTCGCGCCTAGACTTTGATGTATTCAGTGGATGTCCATGGGATATTGAATACACCTTAAAAAAATTAATTTTAAATATCTGAACGGTACTATTAGCCACAATGGCGTAATTTTTTAATAATTTGCTATATAATTACTATTATTTATGGACATTTGCATGTCTATAAATTACATATCATGGATATAAAATAGATATCCACCATGGACTGGACATTCAGTGGATATTAGGATGTGCAGTAGATATCCAAAGGATTTGGTGTGCTGTCTGGGCGAGTTGTGCAAAATCTTAACAAATGCACATACTTCTCCCTTCAAATGTACAAATCCACCGATATATCTAACTGTGCCCAATTTATTACATTGGTAAGATATGATACAAATTGGCATTCAAGAAGCTATTTTATATTGTTCCCCATTGGAGATCTATACCACTGGAAAATGTTGATCAATACTTTTGTAAAATGCATAGCTAAAGATGGTGCTAAAGATATGACAGGCGATCAATCTGGTCTTGTCGTCATATTACAAAAATTAATGCCTTGCGTCAAAAGCTTTACCTCCTGAAATGGACTTTACCCCCTAAAATGAACTTTACCTCCTGAAAACCATCATTAAAGTTGTACATTTTATTGCGATCCCGTAAAAAATCTGCGAAGACATGGGTGCTTTATTTGAAAATTTTATCGGACCGAAGTAAGGCGACTTTCAAGGTCTTTTTAAGAGTATTTCATTTAAGAGCAAAGCTTTTATTTATTTATTTAAAAGATGAGAAGTCGCTACATGAAAATCAATTTTCCTATCCTATTTGGCTTCTGAAACTAGGTTTTCTTGTTGATATTCCAGGGGGTCGCGACCCACACTGTGGGAAACACTGGTCTAGACAATTTTAGTAGGTATTATATTATTGTATATATTCCAGATTTTCTTACACTAACTACTCTTTTATAGAATAAAAATCATTATTTTTTTAAATTAAATAAAGTAAGCTTGAACGCCCTGTGGATCAGGCAAACAGAATAACTGCAATAGGGCAATTACTAACAGGGTAGTAAGTTGAAGTTATGAAGACTAGAGAGAAGGAGGTAAATCGGCAATGGTCAAAGTTCCGTCCTTTTTATAAAGTTCGCGAAATTGACTGTAGTTAGCATGTCTAATGACAGCGGAGTCAATTTTCTATGTAAGTAAATGTATAAGGAAGTGATTTTTTAAAAAATTGGCGAAAAGAATCAAAATAATGAGAAAAAAAGTGTAACATGAGTGACAAAAAACATCAAAGCAAGATTTACGTCGTTCCAGATTGTAAAATAGGATAAAAATAAAATATAAAACTAAAGAAAACACAAGAAGAAATCAATTCAATGTCTTTTTAAAGCTTCTAATCATTGCGTTCGGTTTGCCACGTTCCTTTAACTCCTTTAACACTTTTAACTCCAAACGACTCTTTTAGCGTTCGGTTTAGTCCGATTAGTGACAGTTTAACACGCTTAAATGTCATTTAAAAGCACCCTAAAATTTGTCCCGCTCCAGCCCCTGACTGACCGAACTCGCCTAATAAGGGTAAAATAATGTATTCATATCTAATTCAATATATATTATAAATTAGTCACAATATGTATCTTACGAAGTGTAGTTTATTTTATTACAAGTTTCTATAATATGAAATTTTACAGTTATAGATGCTGACTTACAAACAACAATAATAATTATGCATTAAATTTAACTTACTAGAAAAGAAAATTTATTTTTTAGAGTTTTAATGTTAGATAAATAGTTGCTATTGTTATTTTTTTTTTTTACCCCAATTGCGTCATTGAAAATGTTTTTATAGGATACTAAACGTTTAGAACATATATATCGTTCCTAGTGCCGATAAAGCACTTTCTAAAGATGATGCTGTTCTATACTTTTTAGAAGATATCAACTATTATGAGACTATTTTTACTGATGGTACTGTTAGCAAAATAGAAAGGGGAGAGCTGAAATTAAAGGATGAGTTAATACCATGTACATTTCCAAATCTCCCTTTATACTTGTATTACAACAATAAAAAATCTGTTAACTGTGTTTTATTTTACTCTTAAAACTATATCAAAAAATTTTTTACCACAAAATTGTATATATCAAATTTCAGCATTTAAAAAACCTTTCCGAATTTGGTCATACATAACTAATTTGTATTTTATATAGATAAAATTAAATAATTCCTCATTTAAAACATGCAAGACTTATTTAGAAATAAATACAACAGTATGTTCTGTGCTCTATTTAGCTATAAACAAGTTTATTTTTATTATTTTGAGAAAATTATTTATAATTCCCATAAGAAGCCATGTATTTTGAACACCGTATGCAGTACCAGCGCCCATGTGGTTAATTATAGAAGCTCAATTAGCATGCGTTTTTAGGGACCGTATTTTGAGTATGCTGATTCGTCTCCTTATCTCTAGTCTTCATAGTTGAAGTCTACCAAAGGGGCGTTTGATTTGAAACTCGATCGAGCGAGCGTCGAGGAGACCGAGAAGTGATGACGTCACAATAGAGCATTGAATCAAATCAAATAAAACAGAGTAAAAAACATAACCTCGCTTTTTTGTGATTCTTGTTTCTGGTTTGTATGTTAAAATAGTGAGCAAAAAGTAAAGAAAATGGAAAAACTTTTAATAATAAGGGGTAATGGCCCTGAAATGCCGCATTAACCACAAATGCCCGCTTCGCTCTCCTACTCCATGACTGTGATTATTGGTGATTAGATCTGGACAGAAAAAATGTATTTTCCAAACACACATTTTGTGTTTTTTTTATGTTGAATAATTTTAGCTATAAGACAAAAGCGGCTAAGTAATTTGTTGACTTCTTGTCTGGTCTTTAATTTTAAGATTCAAATTTGTTTGTAAGTTAATTAAAAAGAGATAGGTAGAGACAAAGACAAATTTCTCCCTCTTCTCGATCTTTCTGCTCTGAGAACATCGAGCTCGCTCTGTGTTCTCGCTCCAAAGCGAAACAAACACTTTAGGGATCTCTCGGAGTGTCAATTCAAACACTTTTGAAGCGCTCGGAGATCTCCGATGATCAAATCAAACGCACCACAAATGGAAACTTCCTGTCAAACAACACATGTATCTGCCTGTCATAAAAGGTGACTAAAGACAACTCAGAAGATGATTAACTATGCTTGAAAATTATTTCAGTTATTCATATTCAGAGTGGCCAGTGCCAGAGTTGTCTAACCAAAAAAATTTTAAAACAACCTTTTTTTTTTATTATCATTTCTATACATGCCTCAAAATTATTCGTTTTCAGTGCCACTATCTATACCAAAATTAGGACGTTTCTTCCGGTAGATTAAAATAAAGTGCTTTGGTCTCCATTTACTCACTTTTAATAAATTGTTGGTTAGGCAACTCTGGCACTGGACCACTTGCATATCATGCAACTTCCTTTTATTTTACTTATTTCTTATAAATTGCTCTTTGTCATGTACCATGAAAGGTCACTCTATTTTTTAAAGACATTGCCACAATCAATATTTTGCTTGGAAAGCTTGATATTTTCATGTTTTGCTATTTGTCTATTAGAATACAAATAAAAATATCAAATAGATTTAAACCATGAAAGTAACTTGACAACGATGTGCTAGCTTCGTGACTGTCATGTAGGAAAGATAATTAGCTTGATGGGTACTTGTCAAATTAAACCAGCAAATAATTATGAATTTATTTTTTTTTCATAAACCATAATTTATTTCATGATAGGGTGTACTTTAGATGGCTTACATCTTTAAAATGCCATAAGCAGGTAGTAGAAGTATATGAAAGATTTTTTAAATGTGGACCCCCAGAGAATTTGTGTAGAGACCACTTATGGAATAAAATTATTTTTGGCGTTATTTAAAAAACTTACTAAAAATGCTTTGTTAGGTAAATTTTATTTTCAGATGAGTCACATGTTTGTTATAACATTGTCATCCCTGATTTCAACACCTGACCAGGCTGAGTACACCCTTGAAATATTTTAAATAGCAACAGGAGTGAATTGATACTTCATTTGAAAGGGTTTTTAATTACATTTTTATTCTTACTAGGTGATACACCTAAAGGGGTTTAAATATTCTATATTTTGAACTAGTTAATACCCTGCAAATTTTAATGAAATGTATTAACTAGTCCAAAAGGGCAAATATTTTAAATATTTAAATGCCTACATACCCTTGGGAAAAGGATAAAAATTATTTTTATACCTGTTGCATTTTAAAATATTCAAGGGGGTAGCTACCACAGAGGTTGAAATCAGAGATTTTTTTAATAAAAATGTGCTTCATAAAAATAAAAATTGACATATCCCAGCAATTTTCTAAGATAGCACAAACATTATTTTAGTCCATAAGTAGTATATCGCTGTATAATGTACAAAATATATTTTAAATTTCCTCCCCTTCTTGCTAATTAACCTGCAGCGCCATCGGTTTACATTTTTCACAGCTTAGTGAAAGGATATCTATCTTTAGACATGTTTCTCAGGGATTTAACAGTCTTGTCAGTTGTCTCCAAGGTGACCAATAGAATGGCTCATCTAGAGGCACTTTCTCAGCAATTTTATCAACAAACTGAGTTTTTGATAGCCATAAAGGCACACAGTGGGCATTGTAAGGCCTTAGTGATGTGGGACAACCTACCTTACAAATATAAAACTTTTTAAATGATATTTAGCTCTCAAACTAAATATTAACACTACTTAATGCATTTGGTTTATTATTGTAATTTCTTTGTTACCACACTTTGACCACTTTTTAAAGTAGTACCTTGTAATCATCACTGTTACTGGAACGAGAGACGAGCACTTCAATATAAGCAGAATGCTCATTGCCTATATCGATAGCTGTAATTTGACTAGCTTTTTCGAGCTGTAAAACAACAATTGCTTGTTTCTCTCCGACTGCTTGGCATTTCCATATTTTACTTGTATCTGATGATAATAAATTGTTTGCTGGGTGGACCTAAAAGTAGAATGTTGTTTTTATTATCTAAGTAGAAATTTGTTAAAATACTCACTGGATCCTCTGAGCTAAAGCTTACTATATGGTCTATTTTTATTGGGGCCATGGTAATTATCGTACTATTTCTAAAACTATTTTTCTGTTGATATTCTTTGATTTACCGCCATAACCATGTTTTGTTTTTTGGATGTCACTGATGATAACAATGTCATGATCTTCTTTTTAATTTGTGGCCTCCAACTAGAGAGTATTCATAGTATATTTAAAAATTATCGGGTTGTCCCTATATAATTCCTTCGTAACCCTTTAATAATTCAATTTAAATAACTATTCATTAATGTTCATGTATTATATTTAATATAGGTACTACATTAGTGATTAGGTCAGAATCATCAAAATGCGCCCGAATGTATGCAACCAACCATCCATAAATTTAAATATTAAATTTTATGAAATTGTATAGATTAGATCGAAAATATCTACGATTGAGAGAATATAACTTCACGTTTTATTGAATTGTGAATTAATAATATTAATTTATTAGATTTATATGTACTTGCATACCACTAAATTATAACAGTTACAGTTCAGTGATACACATATACCCACATTGGCGGCGGAATAACTTAAAAATGCACTCTTCCATAAAATAAAAACAATATAAAGGGTGTTTATCTATGCATAATATTTTTAAATTAAAATGCATATGTGAAAAAAGTTAAATACGTATATATGTATACATGTAAATATATAATATGTAAGTATGTACTAGGTTAATATAAAAATCATTCAAAATTAATACCGTTTTTCTATTTTTCTTTGCAAAACTTTCTAAATTTCCTTGTGGGTCAATATGTTTAGTCAACTTATTTTCTGGTGCAATGAGAACCTGTCCTACGGCCACAATGGAGGTGATCTTAAACCTCACCCATCTACATTTGATGATAGAGAATGTGGCAAAAAGGACACGATATAGAATGATCAGGAACGGAGTAATCAGACGAAAGTCTACTTGCTTCAGGACTAAAGATACCTGGGACATGCCCCAGGATGAAATAAACTTCAAAACCACAGAGCTGGGCTGCAAGAAAGAATGGAGCCAAGAATCCATCGCGCTTGCAACTGAAAGACGTGCTATTCAGTGGTATACGGACACTTCCAAAACCATAGAAGGAACTGGAATAGGAGTGTATGGACCGAGAACCAAGCACTCCGAAAGCTTGGGAAAATACCCAAGCATCTTCCAGGCGGAAATTCACGACATCGAGAAGTGTATCCAGTTTAATATCGAGAGAAACTATCATAGACAAGAGATTATCATTATGTCCGACAGTCAAGCAGCCATCAAAGCGCTGAGCTCTTACGTAATAAGTTCAAAAATGGTCTGAAGATGCCTGGAGATTGAATGAGCTAGGCGAGAAAAATAGAGTTACTCTCACTTGGGTCCCGGGACATAACGGGGTACAGGGTAACGAGATTGCAGATAGTCTTGCAAGGAAAGAGGCTCAAACACCCTTTGTAGGACCTGAGCCGTTCTGCGGTATCAGCAGTAACATAATATTAGGAGAGATTAAAAAAGAATTAGGCAGTAGAAGAACCGATAATTGGAACAATCTCTTGGAGCTGAGACAGGCCAAGATACTTCTGGGTGAATATAACTAGAAAAGATCGGAAGCCAGCATCTGCCTGAGCAAGAACAGGGATCATTACCGGGCATTGCCGACTAAAAGGACACCTAAGTAAACTGAGAGTAGTAGAGGATAGTGAGTGCAGATTCTGTGAGGAGGAGGGCGAAACCTCCATTCATATCCTAACTGAATGTGTATCACTCCAGAATCCAAGGGCACTATATCTAAGTGGATATAAAATAGAAGAGGGAGATTTACCTAACTTGAAGCCACTTCAAATCCTACACTTCCTTGAGAAAATAGGATTGGAAGGGTTGCTATAGGCATTGAGACATTTCCTTAGTGCAGCGGCGACAGAAGGGGGCACAATAGATCTTTTAGGTCGCAGTGTATTAACACCCCATTCTCAACATAACATAGGATCATTAAGATCAATAATTTATATGCCATGCCTTCTAAAAGGGAATGAAGGATGACATACTATCATCATTTAAACAGGACGTTGCTGAAGGCTTACCCCTGTTATGTTGTCTGTTTGTGTATCTTGTGCGTGTGCATTCCTGTTGTGTCGTCAGTCATGTAAAAGTTTTCCTAATCTCATGATTTGATGACTAGGTGGACCTTCTCCAACTAGTCGTTCAATCTATTCGATCTGCTTTGCTGCAGGAGGTGCTTTTCAAACATAGCAAATAATAATATTAATAATAAACACAGCATACATTTTACTTCTTTTCTAGTAGGTGGGAACTTTGTGTTGCCATTAAAGGTGTCGAGACATTCATCTACCTACTTATTGAACAAAAGTAGCTGTAACAATGGATCTCTGTTCCAATTCACCTAAAATAATTAAAGCCATTTTGTAATATATTATTAAACACACACATTATACAGTGGTTTTCTTAATAAATTGGAAATTACTCACTTCTAGAAAGAAACGTGTACAAAAATGCGAGTTTAGTTCCAGAAATTGATTCATGCAAAAAATAATATGCGAAAATAAACATCCCCCCCCCAAAGAAAATTAATTAAACAACAAAATCAGACTCAAAGAAATAAATGGGGCCCAAATTAAATTAATTTTAGTAAAATGCACACGTTCATAAACATTCATAACATTGTCAAATTGTCAGTTCTAATCTATACGTCGACGTCAAAAAACCAGCAACATCAGCGACCTCTAAGATTGGCGTTAGTTTTATTGGAGACAGATAAATATATGTAAAAATCAATGTAAAAGAGAGAAAAAACGTCATATATGTAATCCCTGTTGAAAACGTCCAATAGATTCCATTAGAAAAAAGAACTTATCGGTATCTATTGTGTTTTTATCGCAGTATATCCTAATAGATACCCATACCAATAGCAAAGTTGAAGAATTCAATTGGGATGTATCAAATTTTATTGGTCAGTATTTGTGTGATCATTTCCTATGTGAACATCCAGTACTAACGAATGAGTGATTGGATTTAGATTGGACTTCCTTACTTCATCTAAGTTTTGACTTAATGATTCTAAAAAGGCATTTCCTATAAAATACAGAATTGAAATTGTTGGTTCTTATTGGGATTTACAGGATTAGTTAAAAATCATTCTGACAAGTATCTACTATTTAATCAGATTCAGTGTGGTATGTCCGATTAAACGTAGCTGATTCTCTAAATACTCCGAACAGACATACCTATAATAATACTCAATTGGAATTGATGGTCGTTACTGGAGTTTCCACGAATAGTAATAAATGTATACAATGGGTATCTATTTGACAATACTTATTAAAAGATTAAACAAATATGATTGGGTTCATCTTGGATATCCTAATGAAATCATACTTATCGTAAAATAGTTTTAAAAGGGAACTCCTTTTATGGTACACAATCCAAATTGTTGGTCGTTGATGGGATTTCCACGATCAGTGAGAAAACACTTCAATTGGTATCTATGTGTCAGTACTTGTTAAATTAATAAAAAAATTAGATTGTGTTGTCCTATTGAACTTTAGTTATTTCCTAATTGTATCATAAAGACACACCGGGAAGAAATCATTATTGAAATTATTGGCCGTTAATAGGATTTGCAGGATCATTTGAAACTATGTTGAAGGGTGTTTTCTTTCTTAATATCCACTGGAAATTATTATACAACTAATAATTTTTACAATTTATTAAAACTTCTATTACCATTACTTATTTGTCTATGCTCTTTTTCTTTTTATTATTTATATAAATAATGACGTTAGAAAAATAGTATTGAAAAATGGAAAACACACTTTAGTTATGTATTATATTAAAATAAGCAACACAAAATAAGAAAATAAAAGTATACGCAAATATAAATAAAATTATTATTAGTTGTCGGTTTATTCCGTCTGGGATTCAGGTATTACTGGCGACAACTCCTCTCCTGAATACGTTTCATCAGATGTTTCAGATGAACTCTCTGATGAACTCTCCTTATCATCGATAGGTTTATTTAAACTTTTTTGCCGTGAATTTTTTGATAGTGACTTTGAATTTGGAGTTCTTGGAGGTAAATCAGGGTTTTTGAGTCGTATTATTATTATTAGTTTCGCTATTTTTAGTTTCAGCCACCTGTTTTGTAGTTGAACTTTTACAACCATTCTGATCGGCTGTAACAAAAGAAAATTATTTTTCAGTACTATCACTTATGAAAAATAGATTTGATAGAAATAATTCACATTTTAGCTGTATTTAACTGCTTCAGAAATATTATGAATAAATCTGTGTAAATAGAAAAAAAAGTAATTCAATGGACAAATTTCTATAAAATCTTCTAAATTATTTATATTTCGTGGAAATATTTTTGTAAAAACATGCATAAATTAAAAAATATTATTATTTTTTCATTTATTATTTAAAGCCACAGGTTTTTAAAACTTTTACATACCTGGATCAATTTTTTTAGTTCTTGGTGGTCGATTTAAGTCTCTAATTTTCTGCCGAATGTACTCTTCGTAAGCATCGACTTCATCTAACAGGTCCGATCCTTTCAAACCACGCGCAATTTTTAAATAAAATTCAAAAATATCTATAACAAAAAAGGTTTTTCAGATATAAGTAGTTTAATTTTAAGTTATAGATTAGTAATTTCCTGTGATAGTGATTAAAACTGTTAAAAATTCTAAAAATTACTATTTTTAATTTGATTTCTAAAAACCAACATTCCGTAATAAATAAGATATTTTAAATTCAAAAAGCTTGACCAACTACAAGTACATATATTTTTCTGCGCATTGCTATTTGTAAATAGCACGAACTTTTTTAAAATAGCATGCAAAACGGATCACTTTACGTAATTCTTCATAAAATTATTACCTCGGATCGCAAGAGCCTTCGTTGAATCAATAGCCGGTCTTGGCTTACTTTTGGTTTTATTAGAACCTTTTCCTGAAACGCTATGTGATTTTAAATACTCTGTTCCAAAAACAGAAACAGCAATATTTTTACAAACATCCCTAATGAAGGAACCTGCTGTAAAGACATCGTTGTCATAAGTTGTTTTCGGTAGCCAGACTCCATGTCCAAGATGTATCTGCAATGTAATGACGAGCAAAATCAATTTTAAATTAATATTAATTAAAAATTATAAACCTTTTTCTTATGTATAATTAAAATTTTAAATTTTAATTGCTCTTAATCTGTGTAAAGAACAAATCTATTAAAGCAAAAAAGCTTTATTACCATATTAGTGTCGACTCGAACGTAACCAACTGGAGGAGGTCGTCTGACGTCACTTAAGTCGGCAGAGACTTCCTTTGATGATTTCTTGACAC